TAACAAAAACACAAACATTCTTATACACTAATGAAAACATAACTATGAATATTATATTTCATTCTTGCCCATAGATCCTCCTAAATGTCACACACTGGACCTTTAAGGTTTCTCATTTACATATTTTTCCATTTCTGTTGTCAGTTAAAAATCTCCAATCACACAGGCGAGCGTTCATGTAACTTAGTTATATAATCAGGATTTAAAAAAGGTAACAGTAATCCATTACAGATATAGAAAAAAAGATGTAATTGGATTACAGTTAGAGTTACATTCAGTAAAAATGGGGATTAGAACGATATCCTACCACACGTGTGCAGCGCGAACACATTACAACACTTCATCAGCATCACAACTGCTCATTAGCCACTTATCAGGGCCTCTAGTGAGAAAAACGCTTCCACTCGGTGGAAATGTTGCCGTTGTTTAAAGCAGTAAAGGGAACAGCGTCACAGCACAGTGCATGTTCTGCCTTCCAGCTGTGAAAATGCTCTACAGGCTACTGCCTGAATTCACTGCATGAAAGTTTTCTTTAAAAATAGACTGATTTTTGATGCTTAAGATGACATTGTTCCATTGTCTTATAGAGCATGTTAAAGTCATGATTGATATTTCTTTTCCCTTGTCTTTATTTGCGTATCTGTTACCAAAAGATAATACATGCTACCTAACAACCAGACAACAGCTCAGTGTGTTGACACAAATGAACGGTATGTGATCGGCTCCACTGACATGTAAAGTGAGTGTGTGTGGTACTGTGTGTGTTAGAGGAGACAGAAAGTTTACTGCCAGAAAGTCTGAGCAGGTTTAAGGAGTATTTCTGGTTGTCTCATCCACAGTAAAGAGAGGCCAAAGCAGAGGGCAAAATATACGTTTTTATATGCATCTGGCTCAGTGTGGATGGAGAGAGAGAGAGACATAGAAGGAAGGAGGCTGGTGTGAGTCAGGCATCAGCTAACCACAGGGAAGGGAAAGATGGGGGAGGAGGGAAGAGATAGGAAGGCAAAAGGGAGGGGGAGGAGAGGAGGAATCTGGGAATGTTTTAAGCTTGGTTTTAATCTGGAACGAAGACAGAGAGGGAAAGAGGCAGAGAGGGACTGGGCATTACATGCTACACTACACAGAGAGGTCACCGCATCGCCTGGAGGGCTGGGAGGCTGAGAGAGGGAGAGAGAGAGAGAGAGGGAGAGAGAGGTAGAGAGAGGGAGGGAGGAAAGTGAAAGAGAGAGAGGATGGGGGAAAAGGAAGACGAGGAGACGAATGACAAACTGTCAGGTGTGGAGGGATGATGAAGTGTAAGAGGGGGGAAGAGTGTGTGTGTGTGTGTGTGTGTGTGTGTGTGTGTGTGTGTGTGTGTGTGTGTGTGTGTGTGTGTGCATGTGTGTGCGTGAGGGGTGGGGGAGATTTCAACTTGATGTCCTCTCCATGTCATCCTCACCCTCCTCCCCTGTGACGCTGCAGCGCTGAGGGCAGCTTTTGCTGAGTGGCCACTCGCTCGCCCCGGGAGCAGGAGTGAGATACACAGCCCCCTCCTCCCCCGCGTGCCCACCGGGAGCCTTGGCATCATTCGCCCCGTGGGTGCAAGATCCTCTAATTGAGATCAAAGGGATGCCCTTGACGCAGAGCAGGCGGCGCAGGGGCAGCACGGTGGGGCGTGTCGCCTCCATGTGGCCACTCAAAGACACTGCAACTCAGATAAAGGTGAAGAAAACTAGTTTAGTTTTTTAATGGAAGGAACAAAAGCCTTCAAATGAGGATGCTCAGTGGGACCTTCAGATTGTTGGAATTAGACTGAATGAGCTTCAAGAGGCTTTGGGGTCACTGGGATCAATGAACGGTGTATAAATCAACAGTTAACACAAGCTCTGTGAAAAGAAGAAATTAATTATGAACTTCAAAGAATGTCAAAAATTATTTCTGTTTCCCATCTCTGAAAATGTAATAACACAGATATTCAACAAAAAGAAAAGAAAATGCTGTTAGAGGTTTTTCTTCATTTAGTTCTTCAGCAAAAATTTTAAGCACTGTGGCCGCCCTTGAGGAGGAAGCTTTACAAACGGATGAAAGAAAAGAATTCACCTCATAGTATCAGAAATCCTTGAACGGATGCTTAAACATAAGAGAAATGTTTGTAGATGCTTTCACTGTTGGACAGAGTTAATACCTTTTCTACACTTTTGTAATGCTCCCAAATGTTTTAATTAATATTAACACACGGCTGGAATGTCTTTCAAACTGGCCTTATACTGCTTTTCTTAAACATTTCAAGTTGTTAATACACAATTTAAATTTTCTAAAAGTGCAAGTGGAACTTTAAAGCCCCCAATAACCGGTGTGTTTTATTTTTACTCTTACAATGGTTCCTTTGAGTGTGAGTGAAGTCGCTCGTAGTGACCCCACGTAGAAATATGGAGCACAGTTCATTATCGAGGAACGGCGGCATGGAATTCACTACAACGTTTTTCAATTTCAGAAAGTAATACAGCCTGCTTTAACAAAAAGGTTGTGTTTGTTTACTCCAAGGTTATTACAGTTCAAGCTAAACTTCACTTTAGTTAACTGAAACTGAAAACATATTGTTCGAAAATACACAGTAAATGTCAACGCAACAAGAACGAGGAGGCATCGGTTCATATGTTTATTGAGTCAACGCGTTTGTATTGTAATACGTATTCTTCACAACTTCTGAAATATTGCCCCTGACAAAATGTTATAATAAAAAATAAAACCAAAAAAAACTTTTACTATTGACACTAACTTAGTTTTGTAACTTACAGAAACATCCCTGATTAAGTTTTTACTGGATTTTATGGATTTTTTTTCACAGTACAAATAAAAATTACAAAATTAAGTCAGTATCACTAAAAATTACTAAAGCTACTTTTTAACTTAATAAAATTTAGTTAGTTTTACTTAGTTAACTTAATTTTATATGTAATCAGTTTCAACAATTTTATTTGTTAAATGAACTTATCTGGTTTTACAGTGTGAAACTATACACATCTGTTAAACATTCACAAACAATGTATTTTGTTTGTTTTCTCATGAAATTCTCTCATAGCAACCCAAGTATGATTTTTATGCTTATGTTTTGGTCTTTGGTTCCCAACCTTTTTCCTTAAGGAACCCTCTTTTTATCATTCAGTACACTGACTCAGTGACATATTTTATGGATATTTCATATTTTATTAAAACTATCCAATGAACCCAAACAGTGAACTCAGTAACTGCAGGAAGTTTGTGTAAAATTTGTGATTTTGGAGAATTTTAAGGAAGATTTTTTCCTGTTTATGGAACTTTTTATACAATTCTGTCTGTATTATGTATTTTTATTTAATTTAATTTTTTAACAATCAAAAAGTGTTTAGATTTGGTTTAATTTATAAATGTTTCCCTTGTCTCTGACCTAATAATAAAAGCAGGTCAGGAAGGTCGTAGTCAAGGCGGACCCTCCTCCAGAAACTCCTTAGTTACTAAGTTACTTTTTACATAATCAGACCAAATCAAAGAAACTAAAGTGATTTGTTAAAAATGTCCAGATGTGTTTCTTAAAAACGGACATAAGGCCCTAAAAAAAAGTTGATGGGAAAGTTTAATTTTATTTTATTAACCAAATATGACACCAAGACTATTATCTTACAGCCACAATAGAAGAAATACATGGTTATAAGGCCACATACACCACAGATAATGACGACTACTAATGCAATTGACGACTACATTTCAAAATAAGGCTGGTGTAGTCACTGAACATTTTTCTCAGATTTCAGAAACCAGTTGCAAAACCTCCACATCCCCCAAAATACAGAGGATATAACCTCTGCGTATTTATTGCCCTGAATATTTATATTATTTGAGTCAAAATGTGCACAGTAAGAAAGGTCTGCCACAGTAAAAGGAGCCTGTATTCAAAAAATATCTATATATTTCAAAATATCCTAAATAATTGAAACATTTAACATTAAAGGGAGTGAAAAATATAAGAGCAAGGCTGGAATATTCCATAAAATCCTTAGAAAAACAGAAATATAAGCAGTGATTCACAGAGAACTGAGTGGTGGTTTCAACGTACGGCGTCCATATCACAAAGGAACACCATGCATCCTTTCTTTATGATCAAAAAGTATACCTGAAAAGATCCCCTGCTAAAAAGGTGTTAATCAGACTAATGGTTAGATAAATGCAAAGAAGCTGCTATGTAAAAAAGCTGAAGGATCCTATTACCATGGCTACCTGCTACACTTGGCTTTAATTATGGCGCTAATTACGGCTTTTAATTTTTTCCATATCCAAGAGTGCTCTGTCAGTTTATTCTGCTGCAAACTGGGAATGTGACCAACATGTCTGATCTTAAATCCACCAGTGGTGTCTGTATTTTAGACTGAACTGAACCTCCAACCTGTCCGGTCGCCCAGATCGCCCGTCAGACAGAGATACAGCAACAATGCAGATTCCTCAGAATTACATGAGGCTGCCAAACGTCCTGTAGCAACAAGTCTGGTTACATGTTTAAAATCACTCATTATCTGCTGCCTGCAATGCTAGACCTTTAAATTACAGCACTACACCTGACCTCCGCAGGAGTATCGGGGCGGCTGTGGCTCAGAGGTAGAGTGGGTCGTCCACTAATCAGAAGGTTGTTGGTTTGATCCCCGGCTCCTCCTGCTGCATGTCGAAGCAAGATACTGAACACTATACTGCTGTGAATTTTAATTAATGAGTTGGTTTCTGTTCGATGGGCTTTGCCGTCACTGTGTGAATGTGTGTGAAAGGGCGAGTGTGGCACATAGTGTAAAAGCACTTTGAGTGGTCGGAAGACTAGAAAGGTGCTATACAAGTACAGTACATTCACCATCTTTTCAATTATTATGGTTTATTCACTTATATAACCTTTAAGCTTACCATTTCTATTGCAGTTCAAAGGGTTCAAACTAAAACACCAATCTCTATGTATAAGAATGATTTTTCTTCACAGTTAAAATAAAAATGAAAACATTAAATTATTTAAGTAAAATGCAGTTTTATTGTCAAAACAAGTGTATATACAACACTTCCTGCACAACATTTCTCTGACCTCACTGAATTTGTAGAACTAACAGCTTTGTGGTGATTTGTTTGAGTGTAAAGGAAACAGAAGAAGGAATAAAAACAGGACGTCGTTCTTCAGCAGTTGTCGGTTCAGTGGCACACAATGATTGATCCATCATCCAGTCTGCAAAAAGGGGGACATAAGACACTAGAAAGATGTTTTCACATTCATCTGCTGAAAGTGGAAAGTTTCTCTGAGCTGAGGGGCGGGGCCTACGAGCATAATCTGTGGCTTTAAGTCAATCCTGGTCCAGTATGTAACTTCTACAGTGAGATCCACCAGCGCACACACACAGAGAATGGACTTCACAGTGAAGGAAGGAGACATCTTGTGTCCAGCAGGGAAACTTTAGCAATGAACACAATTTGTATATTTATAGATTATTGTAAAGAAAAGTCCAAGCTGACCCTTCTGCATATCTCAATAAATGTCTGGAGGGGATCTTTACATTTTTGATTCAGGCTTCTTGTGACACTAATACAAAACGTGGATTTTAAATGATTTTGGAAGCTCCTTGCCTAAAGTATATTATAAAACGTCTCTCACTGCATTGCTGCATGCAGCCACGAATGAGGTGAACTTTACGTGTATATTTTATTTAAACTGAATAAGATGATTAGGTTTTTGGTATTTTAATGGAGGGCTGTGAGGCAGCAGCAGATTCTTGCCTTCTTCCCCCCTCTGACAGATGAAAGGACGGAATAGCTAAAAGATGAAGTGAACACACACTCTCACACACACACACACACACACACACACACACACACACACACACACACACACACACACTCTCTCTCTGCCCGGGTCACCTCACAGCCAGCCGTTGGAGGAGAAGTCCCGCCTCAGCTGCTGCGTCTCAGCCTCTGTGAGCGCCTGAAGAGGTGATCGACAGGCGCCGCCGTGGTAACCAAACCACTCCATCGCCTGCTTGAGGGCGGGAACTCCTAACTTCCTGGTCACCTAGCAACACAGAGCTCCAATCAGTTTCCATGCACCCCCCGGCCCCTTAAGAGAAGGTGTGGTTTCAAAGCTTTATCAATACAGACACTTAAAATCTGACATCTTTACTATTTGTGGTCGATATTTGGCTGCTGCGCCGCATCCGGACTCTGACTGTAACTTGATATTAGAGGATTATAAAGTTGGGTTTTCGTGATTGATGCCGTTCGGGCAGTGACATTTAACACACCTTAACAGACACATAGCCGGAAGTTAATTATTCAGTGCTCACACATCTCACTCCGAGCGGCTCAGAGAACATAAAGAACTCTGACATTTAACTTTGTGCCAGCTGTCATCTCATTTGGAGTCTGTTTCAGTTTCATGTAATGTAGAAGTTAACTGAGGGTTCAGTGTCTTTACTGTTTTTAATTGCTTGTTATGTCTCTAAATATGTCTCTAATCTGGTTTGCAATGATGGCTTATTTTTCATACTTTTAATTTTATACTACGTCGAAAATAGGAAATGAAAAGAAAGGGCCACGAAAGTTAATTAGATTGTGATATTTAATGTGTCGGATTTGTGTGACGAGGAAGGGAAGTTGCAGACGTCTTTGTGTTGCATTTGATAAACTTACATGCAGTAAATACACTGATGGCAGTAACCGGTTTACTGTTTAGAAATCCTACAATCCAATCACATCCTTGGACTCATTTCTGTAATCGTGGAGGAAACTAGTTGGAAGATGGAAACATTCAGCAGCTGGAAATATTCACATTACTTTGATTTTAACAAACTAAACTGGATTTTAATCGTCTGAATGTAAAAGTCTGAATTTTGGACAGAATTACTTCTTCTTTATCTGTTCACACAAGTGAAGACTTTAATGTGATTTTTTTATATATTGATGTTCAAGCTAATATTCATTACATTAAATCAGCACCATCACCCACAAGTGCATTTGCTGCAAAGTTCCCAATTGACTTATGTGGTTAAATTAAGGTAAAATAAATACATTTTAAATTAGTGTGACAGGGTTTCTTTTTATGGATCACAACTCAAACGTTAATGTTATCTGATGTAAAAATGTATGCATCATTTAGTCTTTTCATATTCTGTATAGAATAAAAAAATGGAATATTAAAAAATAAATGTTATTCATTCACGAGTCCAACACGAAAAAACAAATTATGGCATTTGTGTGACCAGGAAGTTGGACTACTGTAACCAGTTCCCATTTACAATGCTGGCCTGGCAGCAGCAGGAATCGATGCAGCAAGTACAATATACATACAGCTAATGCAAAAACAATACAGTTAGACAGAGTTAAAACAGCACAACATATACAGATCTCAATAACTGCTGTTTTTAGCCCAAAACAATTGGGATTTGTGTTCTCCCACCGAGGTTTAATGCAACCAGTGAGGTGATTTCAGGCTCCAGATCAGTTCTAAGCAATGTGACTAAACCTCCGGTCTGGCACTACTTGTGGGAGTTTGTCTCTTGTGCTCTGTGGTGCGGCGGATAAAAGCGTCTGCCGTGCAGCAGATGGTACTCACGGCTGCGTTGGGCTCGATGAGACGCTGCTGCAGGACTCTGGCTTCCTCCCAGCGACCGGACACACACAGGCGCTCCAACTCACACAGCTCCGGGCCTAGCACGTTAGCCAGCGCACACACTCCGCCAACTGCACCTAGACACCCAGATCACAGTGGAGCGTTAAAGGATCAGTGAGAGAGACACAATCCAATGATATACTGTTATACAATGAGATATGCTCCTGACCTTCTGAACATCAACATCCTTTCTGCGTAATAGAATTTGTCTCAAAAAAAAAGGGGGGGAAAAGAAAACACAAGCCTCAGTCTGCAGCCACGCTACTGTAGAAACATAATGGCCTCTGTAGATAAAAACATCTCATTCTAAGGTAATGAAAACACAACAATTCTTATTTTCAGGTGATTGTACTCTGCTGAAAACATATCTATAAATATTATATTACATTTCCGCCAATAGATCCACCTCATTGTTACACACTGGACCTTTAAAACCACAAATGTCAACCTCATGGTGGCACGTGAGGAAAAGTCAGGGAATCACCAAAGTCACTGGGATTCATCCACTGGGAACCATGAATGTCTGGACACAATCTCATTGCAACCCATCCAGTTGTTACTGAGATATTTCCATCTGGATCAAAGTGGTGGACCAACCAAATGACATTGCCATCCCTAAATCCTCTATGCTAGCAGGACTTAAAAAGAAAGAAATATAATGGAAATTTAAAAAATGTAAAACCATTATGAGCTTCATCCAGAGAAAACTGGACTCTCAAACATTAAATCTGTCTGGTTTCCTTCACTATAAAGCATCAGATTTTGCAGAACAATAAACTGAAGCCAATGGATTATTTCTGCAAACAAACCTGCTTTTTAAGGGCTGCACTCTTATCAGGTTTAGTTTCATACTTATGTTGAGCTTGAAGGAGGTGTGTGCTGAGAAACCCTGTTTGATCAGTTCACTCAACTCAGCACTTAGTCTGTTTAGAATATTAAATCATGCACTGAAACATTGGCATGCATCACAGCACAGTACAAGAAGCACTTGAGTTGCCCAAGAGGTCGGGGAATTTCTTCAACCAGCAGAGTTTTCACATGACAACGTGTGGAGAGAATTCAAACAGCCGGAGATAAAACTGAACAGAAAGGCCTGAACATATATTCCTTCTAAATAAAGCCATCCATCACTCTCCTACTTTTACACTGTCAACACAAACATAAATGATTTCCTGTCAACACAGATCGTTTCTGAGATACAGGTCCAGCATTCCTTCCTGTTATTTTTCTTTCCTGACAGATCAGTAAGCAGCGGCGCTTTATGATGTCTGTTTTTTTATTTACAGAGATAGATACATATACATTTTCCCAGGCAACAAGATATCATGGCCTTTCAGTGTGACATCTCATTGTCTGTCTGGCGGAGGAGAAAAGCAGAGAGTCAGCCTCCATCCGCGGCCTTGGAGTTGTTGTTGTGGACAGACGAGCCGGCGGCTGCTGATGGGCGGATTTTCTGTCTGATTTCTGTTTCTGTGGCCCGTCGCCGCTCGGATCACACGGCTGACAGCAGCTTGCCTAACGCTGCTGACTGACAGGCGCGCCGCCCCGCCTCCTCGCTGCACTGCGAGTGACAGCTCGCCAACCAGAGACGCTATCTGGTTCAAACATGTCCAGGAAAGAGGGAGAACAGTGAGCCGAGGTTTCAAGGCCAGAGCCATAAACCTTCACTAACAACACATGGACATCAACACAGTCACTCTAATTAAATCCGTCACAATCAATTAACCCTCTAACACCTGTCCTTTGCAGATAAAATATGTTTTGATTGTTTGACTGCTTCAGACTGAAACCATTCTCATGTTATGGGATTTATGTCATTCAGGAAGGCAATTAGCTTAGCTTAAGGGCTGGAGGTTAGCCTAGCTCTGTCCAAAGATATAAAATATAACACCTCACTATTTAGTCCAGATGAAATTACAAATTTCAGGTAATTTATGGAGTTTCCAGATGGACTTGTTGTATAAAGCAACTAACAGCCAACAACGGAAATTGTTTTGGTGTGAGATGCTGGTGCTCTAGTGCGACATCTAGTGGCAAGTGAATTTTGTATATATAATCTTCAAGATGCCGACATCACCAACAGTTTAACTACAACATGCTTATACAAAAACATGAACAACCCCTAAACAACGTACAATTTCACAAAATTAAAGACATTTCCCTGCACAATAATCAATCATCATCGTAAATCAACAGCTGTATGATTTCTACTTATTTCTGTCAGGGGAACAGGACAATCATGAGACCAGAGATTTTGGGGTTGAATCTGACACGTTCTCCCTTTCGCAACTAAGGAAAAAAAATCTGAGTTTGCAGAATTGGCCACTTCACCAAGAACCGAAGTTGATGTGATGGACCAGTCTGAACTTTCCAATCAAAGCTTCTGTGGTGAAGCTCTGCGAGGTTGTGACTGACAAGTAGACGGCCCGACCCTCTCAGCATCATTGTTGAGAGCATGAATTTGGACATCAAAACTTGAACATGCTCTCACAGCAGGGATGCATTAGCATATCAATCACTCACTGGCGTTACATTGCTCTGCATTAGCTGTGTCAATCACACACACACACACACACACACACACACACACACACACACACACACACACACACACACACACACACACACACACACACACACACACACACACACTGCCAATTACTCCCATATTTCAGGTATGGAGATGAGAATATGTCAGAGAGCAAAGATCACAGAGCTGTGGGAGTGGGTGAGTGTGTGACGGTGTGTTAGTGTGGGGCAGTCGGAGAACATGACTCATTAGGTTTCTTAGCATCATATTGATGCCTGTCCCCTAACGTGTTATCTAATCCAGCCTTACAGTACACTGTACGTGGCTGACATACTGAGAAGGTAGAAGACATCACTACATAACTCTGCTGAGAAACAGGTTTTATGATTTACTGCAACTTCAAATGAGAGATCACATAATTCCCGCAGGATGAGAGAAATGTTTTACTGGATTGGGTTTACATAAACACACAGCAGTCTACATACAAAAAGGGGAAGTTGTCCTTCAAGTTTGCTTTTTGGACATTTAATGTGGAAATAAAACTGGATGAAGCACAGTTGACATACAAATATAATGGTTGTGAGATTCAGACTGAGAAATGTGGTTTTGTTGACCACTGACAGTATTAATGGACAAAGCTTCGGGGTCTGTAAACCGAAGCTAACATCAAAGTGCCTTAAACCTGCATTCTATGTAATGGCCAGCAGGGGGCAGCTCCATTGGATGCAATAAAAACTAATACCAGGCTATCCGCCATTGTTTCCTGCTACAGACGAGTCGAAACTGAGCAGCCAATGAGAATGTGACTCACCTGTCGTCTGTCAGACGTTTAACTTTTTTGCATCATTGTTGTCTTGTTCCAAAAATGGCCCAACTACAAAACTAACAAGTACTCTGAGTAAGACAAAGCCTGAAACACAAGCACATGATGACACTAACGAGGTGTTCAGTCTTCCCTTTTCTTAACCAGCACGTTGCGAACTTTGTCTGCTGTTTGGTGCCTATATGTGACTATACGTAGTAAACAAACAGCAAGAATGTAACTTCAAAATGTCAAAATTTCCTTTCAACCAGGTCAATATTTGCTATTTTTTTGTCTTCCAGCTTTGTCAGGCAACCACATTGCTCATAGTTCAATGCTGTTCATTATCCAAGGTGAAACTCGAGTGGAGAGTTTCTAAAACAGCTCCCACTTCCAACTGCAGATGCAATGATAACATAACTTCAGCAAAGTAATTCAAGTTGACTAATTGCAATTTGTGATGGATTACCAATCTGTAGTCATCTCCATGCTTTTGCTAATTGATTTTTATAGAGAAATTAAATGAAACAGCTGCTTGGGAGGTTGGAAATCAATCTAATTAGATTTAAATTAGGACATGTTTAAGACATGTAGCCTGGGTGACTCAATGTGAGGAGGATGTCCCTAAAGTTGTGCACATTGAACAGACGGTGACACACAATCCCTTCAGGAAGCTGCTCTGTTCATCTCGAGTATTAGTGAAATCTGAAACAGGAAGTGAATGCAAGGGTTTATGGGTAACAAGAGGGGAGGGTGTTGACATCTGATAGCCAGCAGTTTCATGTGTATGACGAGTAGATATTTTTGAATTATTTTATTATTAAAGAAAGAAATACAAAAAGACAACATGATACATTTCTGGTTGGATGAAAAGGAGAACAGTAGGGGAGATCGAAGCCTGGAGGATATGAAGGCTACCGAACACAACACCGCTGTTTGTCCTGTTTTAAGGCTTCTTACCGACACAGTAGGCGGCCATGAGAAACCCTGCTGAGCCCGCCAACACCTGGAAATCCTGCGTTTTGGTTTTGTGAACGATCAGGCCGATCCGTGTGATCTGAGGAAAGAGTTAAAAAGAAACAGAGAGAGAGACGAAAAAGATAAAAAAAATCACTGTTCCACTGTCACCGCTCCTCCCTGCTGCCACCACTAATATCTGATGTCGTCTTTTTTTTTTTTTAATCCCAGGAGAGGCTGTCACAAGAGACGACGACAAAGCCAACATCTCACACGGTAAACAAATCGCTCAAATTGAGACCAGCATTGACTCTTCACATGGTGGAGGTTTTGGAAGGGGGTGGGGGGGGGGGGGCTTCCCAAACAGAGGAAGAAAAGAAAGAGGGAGAGAAATAAAAAAAACAGACAAATCCCAAGTGAGAGAAAAAGAGGAATCAACTTCAAAAGAGGAGGAGGAGGATGGGAAAAGCTCATGAATAATTGATAAGCTCGCTATTTTGTTTTGCCTCTTTTAATTCTCTTTTGTCAATCCGGATATGAAGCGCCGAATCCAAATAAACCTGAAATGTTCAAAGGGAGCGTAAGACGGCTCTGCACATGAAGACGAAAACTCCGCAGGGAAAACCTGCAGCCTCCGGTTTCAGTCTCCATCACCGTTACCGGGGAGAGTCTATTTTTAAATGCCGGGTGTCAATCAGTTTCCCCATATCAGTCATTTCAAACACGCAGGACTGTAATTGATCAGTCAGTCAATCAGGTTATAGGAGCTCCTGCTGGTCTCCTGAAAGCTTCGGCACTCGGGCTATTTTGATACAGCTCCCCAGTGGGAAAATAACATCGCAGCAAGAGTACTGTCTGCCCCGGTGACAGAAAAACACTCATTAGCTTTTATTTTTTTAAGTCTCATTATCGCCATTAGTGTGCAGTGTGTAGTTTGAGAGCAAAGGGACACTTTACCCTCTGCTGAAGATTGGGGACTTGGTCATCCCCGCCCAGATATTTTGTTGTTGCCTCAAGGCATTACTTTACAATATGGGCATAAAGACACCAAGAAACAACTGCTTTCAGTCCTATTTATTAGATAATAATAAGCATCATGCTTTAGACATGCATATATGCCTTATTTGTATTAGTTGTCAAACTGGGTTCTAAGGACCAACAGGGAACCTTGTGTGGGTTGTAGTGAGTCCCCAGCAGAAGGAGGTTTAGAATATTTTAAAGGACCAGTGTGCAGGATTAATGACATCTGGTGGTGCAGTCGTAGATTGCAGTTCCCTCTGTTAATCCTCCTCTTTCAAGTGCGACGGAGAAACTACTGTGGACAAAAAGGCGCAAAAAACATCCCCACGTAGAGCCAGTGTTTGGTTTGTCCATTCTGGGCTGCTGTAGAAGCATGGCAGCCTCCATGGAAGGAGACCCACGACTCGTCCTAAGGTAACGGAAACGATAATAAATATATACCTAATAAATACCTATGAATACCATTTTCCATTTTAGCCACATTTAAAAACAATGTGAACAGAAAGAAATCAAATCTGAGCAATTACTCATAATTGAGCGCTAAGCCGAGCAGCGTCAATGTCTCTTTCAAGTATGTGCTCTGAAACTCCGTCTTCATTATCTGGTCTCTCGTTCTCTCTGCGGAGCCTCAGGCAGCACGTACTTCTAGTCATTACACAGATCTCTGCTCATTGCCTTTGCACATGAAATAAAATACGTTTGTTTACATGTTATTCTCTTCCTTCCTACACTTTTCAAAATGTTGTTCATACATATCATTAATGGGAATTATTGATTATTCTTGTTTTGATTCTATAGGATCCATCGATGTGTGTTGGCTGGTGAAAGCGCCTCTTAAACCTGATTGTGGGATCCATACTGCCTCAAGGCCACCATCCACTCGCTGTGACCTGTGTCCATTATTGCCTGTGAGTATTAGTAGGTAACAAAGGCATTGACCAAGGTAATCATTACTATTTTACATCTCCATTATTGATGATGTAACCTTTACAAGTAGACCTAATGCGTTGCCTTGAGGCAACAAATGGAAAATCACTATTTACTGTTCTGAGTATATATAAAACTAAAATAGATCTTTAAACCTGTATGCTTCTGTAGAGAATCATCCTCATGCTTATGTTTTTTTTCAACAAGTTATCTTGATTTGACACTGTTAAACTCAGCTTTTTCAGTTTTTCTGTGAATATAAGAACTTGAATTTTAAAGCTGCTGAAAACTTTCACTACATCCCGACAGTAGTACATGAGACAGATAATCTGAGATAAAAATCAGAAAGATAGTTGAGTCACATTCCCAGTTTGTCAAATACCACTGCTGGGAATGAGATTCAACATCAACTATCTTCAAGCTTCCAACCCAAAGCGTCTTTCTATCTTTCTTGGCTCTGATTGGTTGTTTTCGTTCAGGCCCGGTGGACCTTTAAAAATTATTAATCATTAATAATTAAATAAAAATGTAAAAATGTAGTAATCAGATTGAAACACTGTGACTGTGGAGACAAGCTTGTCATCTTAATCACAACAAAGTTTTTCGTGACAACGGATGAAAAGTGTTAGATTGAGTGTTATCATATCATTTTTAAGCGTTTGTGACTTTTTTTCAGGTGTGAGCGAGACGCAACTATAAACGATACCGGCTCTCTTGCAGGGATAAGGAACAGTAGGCGTTGTAATTATTTCCCTTAACAATAACTGATTGAAAAGGCAGTGTGTAAAGACGATTGATTCACCGATACATGTGTGTGTTCAACAGCGTGGGCAGGAGGAATCAGATTAGAGGAGATGAAACTTTAATGATCCCTGAGGGGGGAACTGTTTAAGCAGCAAACATCTTAACTACATGACAAGAACACTGAAAGCCCTACAGATGAATGGACTTCAGAGAGTTCAGATGGGAGACAGTTAGGATGGATTGGTGGATGATAAATGACCCCTGACTAGACTGAACAGTATGTGCTAGTCATTTATTCACAAATTACCAGTTCCACATCTGTCAGATCTGTTTCTCTCCACAGTCCTCAGCGACACAGAATCTCAATACAGAGCAATAAAAAGTGGCAATCACACTGCTGCTAAGACTTGCGTGCCCAAAATAGAAACACAGACACCACAAACAAATCTTTTTCTACTTGTTGTGTCTTCATATCACTGGTTTGGTTGAGAGGATCTGAGGATTTTGCCACTGATCCTCAAACAAATACTGTACTTAAGTGCAAATTCTGTGTTACTTCCCAATTTGAGTGTTAGTTCTTCTTCTCCACTCTACTACAGAAGGAAATATTGCACTTTTTACTGCATCCTCACACTCGAGGGAGCTTTCGGTTGGAGTGTTTCCTTCTTCCAGGAAGTGTGTTTTTCCAATTTTTTCCCATCGAACTCAGCTCATACCTGAGCTGCCGGTTTTTACACAGAACCATCTGGGAAGTCGTCGTTGGGAACTGTTTTGGTGTCTGACTGAATGAACCATCTGCCTACCAACGTCTATCACTGGCAAATTTCAGCCAATCAGATCAACGAACCGTCTCACGCAGTCGGGAGAAGAGCAGAAACATCTTTGAGAAGCCTTCAGTGTGGTTCTTTGCTGTTCTTTCGATGAAGAAATACTCTCCAGAACTGATGCTAGCCGCATCTAGGCTAAGCTATTTAGCAGCCTCTAGCACAAGGTTCATGCAACTTAACTGTAACAGGAATCATTTCAAACCCAATCAAAGCCACGGACCTGCACTTAGATGACCTTAGCAGTTAAGCTACTTGTCAACCACCAAGTTATATTATTCAACAGAAATCATTTACACATCTGTAAATGTATCATGACTCATAATGTTAATCTAGAAACCCTGAAAATACCCGATTACAGTGACTTCTTAAAAGGTCCAGTGTGAAGGATTTAGTGGCAATCAACTGAGTACAGCTTGCCCTTCCATGCATGAAGGAGAGACTACGGTGGCCATGAAACTCACGAAAAAACGAAAGGCAAAGTATTAAAACCGAAAGTACTGCACTGTTCAATTATTTCAGAAAATAAAAACAATAGTTTTGGACATCGAAGGTTTCGATCCAACAGCGACGATATTAAATATGATCAGCATTTTCATGTGCTGTTGCCCTGACCCAGTTTCATGAGTTTAATCAGTTATAAAACGTTATTATCTAACCAAGAGTTGTAATTCAGCTAAAACACACACACACACACACACACACACACACACACACACAAGATTTCCAGTTGATTGCAGGAGACACAATCAGCTCTGGCAAACTGTAGTCACATGCAATGGGCTCCTGCGCTCATGTACACAGAAACAAGTAAGGCAGTGCAAAGGAAAAAAAGGCAATAAAGAAGCTTTTCCACATGGCAGCACAACCAATCACATGCTCTTTTAGATGAACCAGAGATGGTCATGCAGTGAGACAATTCAAACTTGGCCTACAAGCCCGTCCACGCCACAGACTGCTGATAAAACACCAATTTGTTTTCTGGAAATATGTCTGACCTCTTGAAAACCCATTTCAAATTGGTCAAAATATAACAGGATTCAATTCCAGCAAAGACCATCGTCGCTAAAAAAAAGCCCTGTGCTGAACAGCAGGAGCCGGCTGATGTGAAGAAATTTGTGTTTGCCACTCTGAATAATCTTTCTGCAACTTGTCTGCCTCTCTCAAATTGACCCATCACCCATTGTTTTCTGTCTTTGGCCTCTTCACGCCCACAATTGAGCAGGGCCGCTGTGTGCTTGAACTACACCCACGCTCCTGTCTCCCAGCAAGTGGACAAACATGTTATTTCCCAAATCAGAAATCCATTTGCAACTTCTTGTAAGCGCTTCCCACACAGACGAAAAGGTACTAAGAGCTCAACAAGAGCAAACTGTTCTTTTTTTTTTCCTCCAACAAGTAACCCTGGAATCGACCCTGCAGGAGAAAACTAAACACTTTAGTTTTAGGTTCTTCAACAGTCTGCGCCGTCTGCTCGACGGCAGAAAGTTTACTGAAAATCTGCAAAGCATGAACAAAGGAATACAGGCCTGTTTCTGTGCAGCATCACAATGTACTAATACTGTCCTTCTATTGCTGCCAAATTGACCTTGTTCAGACTATTTAAGATGTAATCTCAAGGTTATTATTATTCAGAGCCTCCACTCTGTGATTTAACATTTAAAAAAAATACATGATACAGACAGAGAATTGTACAAAACGCTTTTAAAAATATCAGGAAAACTCATCTCTGATCAATATTTACAGGAACTAATCTGCTGATAATTCATCCAAATTGCTTGTTTTACACAAACTTCCTGCAGTAATTCCTTTCACTATCTAGGTTCATTGCACAGTTTATCAGTTGTTGTGTACTTTCATTGTTATACATTGAAGTTAATATAAAATATCTGTAAAATATGTCACTTAGTCAGTTAGTTAATTTTTCAATTAAATGTGTCTCTTAAGGAAAGAGGTTGGGAACCACTGCTGTAATCCTTTCATCCGTTTAGTTTTCTGGTGTAATGAACATCACTGTTCACCGGGCAGCTAACACAGCTTCAGACTTTTAGTGGTTTTCACTCTTTATGTACATATATATATATATATATATATATATACATATAAATAAAGAGCATGCAGCTCCAGAACTGTGCTCAATTTTAAATGTTTAACATCCAGTTTGTTATCTTGGTTCAGAAGTTTTTAAAAGTCTCTAAATACTCAGCAAATAATTAAATAAGTAAAGATATAAATAAGTAAGATATTCAGACCCTGATACAACTCCGGACCCCCGTCAGGTGCTGGAGGCTCACAGAGAGAGAACGTTTGTCTGACAGCTGATCGGGATTTCTTCATGACTCACAGATTACATGGAGGAATAAAAAGGAAGTGTTTCTTACGTCTCCTCCGCTGTCTTTCAGGCCCAGGATGTTTGGGTGCTGAGACAGCTGCAGCACAGCGTCCAGCGGCAGCTCCAGGCCCGTGTTGGCCGGCACGCTGTACAGAACCACCGGCACCGGGCTGCTGTCCGCCACCTGCAGGGGAGAGAGAGCCCTTAAATACACCACCACACTTTCCTTTACCGTAATCTCTCCCTCGTTTACAGTCAAGTCAAAGAGCCAGGTTTGAAGTCTCACAGAAGTTGTTTTACTGTGAGTGAAAATGGTCATTTGATCTGGTTGAATTCTTAGATTTAACTGATTTTCTCTGCAGTTTCAGTGCAACTCTTACAATCTGTGGGCGATTTGAGGGTGGGGGCCATCCCTCTTGTTAGCAAAATGACCAAAATGCATCCACCTTTTTAACCCTTTCATCCTCCCCTTCATCCCCGCCTACAGGGGTAGGCAACCTGCGACCCCTGTGGTTTCTGGAAAAACATTATGAAAATGAATAATTGTTCATTTTTAACATTTTAATTTATCATTGAATGCCTAAAGTCATTCTTAAATTCACCAATTGTACAAATGTATAGCCTTTAACACTCTGCAGAACCTCACTAGCGGTGGTAGTCTTGAGTCTCCCTAGCTAGGCTGGCTATGGACTGGTATGCTCAGATATGTTTTGTGGCTCCAGAATGGCTCTTGTGAAAGTAAAGAGTGCAGTATCAGAGAGAGTGCAGGGGCAGAGGGGTTGTTTCTGACTGAGGGCCCCGACCACGGCTCTGAAACATGTGAAACACAGTGCACTGTGGAGCTGGAGCAGCAGACTTTATAATATAACTGAGGCTGTTTCCTTTCTGTCTTTAATACTGTCTAAAAACAAACTCTCAATCTCAAGCTGGCTCAGGGGCCCTGCTGGTATCGTCATCTCGTAGAGGGGCCACTTCAATGTTCAAGTACTGACACTATGTAGTCTGAAAATATTTCCATTACCAACGTCATACTTACTGCAGTTCCTGTACATTCTGTACATGCCACACGCAGCCGAACAACAAATGAAGGCCAGAAACCTTTTTATCAAGCCTTCGCACACATTTTAAAATGTTTATGAACGGGCAGTTTAAAATGAAATAGATAGAAAAAGATATATTTACAAAAATAATCATCTTGCAGACCGGAGTATATAATATTTTAGAGATCAAGTCGCAGGCCGGAGGGATGGCCCGGCAGTTTGAGACTGCTCTGGACTAAATACTATAAATACTCTATATTATTGCTATACTGTAGCCTATATACTGTATAGAGTGTGCAGTCAGAGTGAGGGGATCCTACAGACACACTGCCGCCTGCATTACGTCAGTTTGTGGTCAGTACTTCGGGACCAATGTGTGTGAGATGGTGTGTTCGACTGTCAGCTGACCTTGGTGAAGTGCTGGATCAGAGCACGGCTGTCCATCTTGCCCTTGTAGAAGCAGGGCGTTACCACGAGGGCGGCGTCGGCTCCGGCCGCCGCCATCTTCTCCGTGAGCTGGACTGTGGCTCTCGTGGCTGAACAGACGGAAAGGGGGGGGCAACTTAACTGACAAACACTCGCTTTTGTCTGCCTGTCGAAAACCTTTTATCACGACAGGCAGTTAAAGGACTGGAGAGAGTGCAGGAGCTTTCATACTTTCTCATTTTGTACTTTGTGATTGTTCGTTCCCTCAGTTCAATATATATCTACGGTATACGAGCACTTCTTCAACACACCTTCTCTATGGACACATACTGCATTTGTGCCCTCACATTTAAGACCTTATATGTGTTCTTTCTCCTTCTTATGGAACTAAATACAACATCCTTGACCTCAGTAACTCACAGGATAGATGCAGTAAAGAGGACGACGGAGAGAGACAGACTTAAGACTGAACATCAGTGAAAAGAGGAAGAGGGAGAAATGAAGACTGAGAAACAGACCTTGGATTTCAAATCAGCTCTTCCATCAGCATCATTTCATGGCGTAAAGGCCAAGTAGGACCGACACAAATAATGTAACAAATATGTCCCTGAAATATTAACTGAATAAATATCTGTGAAATAATGGATGAATTGAGCGCTCAGAAGGTTTTTATATCTATATCTATGATTAACACCACCGTCAATAATGAGCTTTGAAAACTAATAAAAAAAAGAGATTAAACACTGTGCACGTGGAAGCAGCTCTTTTTACGAAGTCATTTTCCAGAACCTTTCCAGGACCTCTTCAGGGCATTTTCCAGGGGTTTTCCAGGTCATATCATTTACCAGAAAGCCTAGTATTGACACATTTTACCCCAGTTTTATTCCTCCTTGTTTAATGATGCAGGGTTCGTGATCAAGTGTCTCAGGTTCCTTACAGGAAGATGGCAATCACTCCTTTTTGTGGCAGGCTCGGCTCTTCTCACCATAGCTGATTTTATGTAGTCGGCAGCAATTCGACTACACTTTACTAACAATAATGTGGCCAACAGTTCAAATCAAGCCACAGTGAAGGATTTTCTTGCAGGTATGATTTAACGTCTGAGCAGCTGAACCTACCAGCAGTCGACTTTCAAACAAAACACGCACCAAAGGTTTATGTAGGTGATTGGTGGCGAGGGGCTACCAGGACAACATACAGATTATATCTACAATATTTGATTTTAATCAATTTACAGGAGATTACTTGATGTTTTTATCAAGGGGAACCCGGCTCAGCCACCCTCATCCTTAACACCGGAGCACCCCAGGGTTAAGGGCTGCGTTTCCACCAAATTAACTAAATAATTTCCAGTTGGGAACCAATTATTTGGGTTCCAAACATTTAGGTCAAAACACTCAGAGCAGTTCAAAACTGGGTGCTTGAACTGGAACGAAGCCCGTTCCCTTCTACCCTCAGGCCACTAGGATCCTAAATGAGGTCACGACCTAATACCGTGTACCTTACGTATATGATTAAATGTGACAAATAAGGTCACTAAAATCTATATTGAACACACCTGTAGAATCAATCTGAGCTCTTTTGAAGTCTTTTATAATGAAAATGTTTGTAGTTCTGAATAAAGTAAATTTGAACAACTGGGAGACGTAACTGACTTAACTCAAAGTTTGTATTTTCACCCTTTTGTCTGCGTTCAGTCTGAATGAACTGCTGCAAAACTAACTTTACTTTAACAAAGAAAACTTTAAGATGATGATTACCTTTATTCTAAAACATTATAGAATTCACTTTCAGCAGTTATCTTTTTGAACTTTGTGTTTTCCATAATTTGTTTTATTTCAGTGTCAGTGACACTGAAATGTTTTGACAGTGTGTCAATTTTGAAAAATAATAAAAATGTCTCCTATATCAACTCTAATTATTGTCATTGTTTTTGTTATTTATCAATTAATTTGAAACTTACATTTAAATAAAACATATTTTTTCACGGTTCACGCTGTACATTAGAAGTGTTTCCAGACTTACATTCACAACCTGATCCGGCCATCAGCAGTTTGTCCGCCGGCAGCGACTGTCTGACTGTCCTCACCACCTCCACCCGCTCCTCCTCCGTCAGGTACGGATACTCACCGTTAGAGCCCTGAACCACCAGACCTGCAACACAAAACACATTACTCTGCTTCTGTTGCTTCTGCAAAGAAGGTCAAGTTATGTTCATCCCCCTATTGTCTGCTAACCAACCGTACGGCGGCCAGAGAGGCTTTATATTTATTGTATAGGACGTCTTTAGTGATATCAACAGACCAAACTGTAGGAGCTCTTCTGTCATGTACCCACAACAACACTGACTGGGAAAGTGAAACCTGACTGAGGAGATTCACACAACGTATCTATCATCTGTTTGCAAAGAGGACTTTCTACAACCCTAAAAATATAGATAACTCCTCTCAGCCTTCTCACTGCACCGAATGAAGCTTTTAGGACAGGCGGCCCCAAACGTTTCACTGGAATAAAAGCACAAAAACACGGCTGTATCCAAGGCGGCGATACGTTTGTATTTGTCAAAGATATGGACAGTGCGCCAAAGATCACAGACTGGATCTTTGACAGGTTTTATGTTCTGATGTACAGATCTGCACCGCAAAGTCTAAACAGAACTTTAGCCTCCAAAAAATGTGGAGTCAGTCCCATAACCGAAACCTAATTCAATTCTGTTGTTTTAGCGAGCTTAAACTTCTGTAGTATTTTAATTATTATAATATTGGTGATGTACTTCTTTATACCATTACAAAAACGTAAGCAAATAATAAATACATTTGATGTCAGTCACATAAAGTAAAAGCACTGTTAACAACTTAATTACAGCAGTAACAATTAAATGTGTTGATCCACAGAAAAGTAATTGGCTACCACTCTGATAATCGATTCATTGTAAATTGTTTTTGTTGTGACAGCTGATGTAAATGTAGAAAACCGAGGAAATTCAACTGGAAGGGGGGAACATTTGTAGAAAGAAGATGCATTCACATCTTCTCACACATTCTGTTGACACATTTTAAATAAGTTCGGAGAAATGCTGCATATGAGTGAATATAAATACATTTTTATACAGTTTAAGTTTATTAACTGAAGGGAACTGGTAGAATGAACTTACTCTATCCAAGTTACCTTAAGAAATACTTGAGTTACTTGTACTCAAATCAGATATTTCATTAGCAGTGTGTATATAGGATAATAATAGTTTTAGTAGGATTGATAGTTTAACAATCATTTAAAAGTATTACTAATGCCAATAATAGCAGCAGCATAATTAGTAGAGGCTACTACAGCTGCATATATACCAATACAAAAGCACCAGAGGGCGACAAACACCCGCAGGCCTCCAGGTGATTTTGCGTTTCTTCCTCCATGCTGAACTTTGTCCTCTCTGCCAGGTCCCTAAACAAACACTAATGACCGACTGACAGTGAACCTCTCTGCAGGGTCTGAAGAGTGAAACGAGTTCAGGAGTCTACCTGATGTCCCACATACTGTCAGGTTCACCTGGATGTGTTCCTGAAGGAGTCACACATGCTCCTGCTCACTGGTCGAACCCATACAATGAAGCAGTGTGCCTCAGGTCTGACCTTTGAACCCTATCTTGGCATATTTCTGCAGGTTTCCCTCCAGTTTCTTGTAGTCCACCTCCTCCTCTGCGGTGAACGGGGTGGCGATGGGCGGATAGATCCCGCTGAGGTCCAGGTTAGCAGCCGCTGTGTAGCTCTGGGTTTGTTTCCATGCCGACAGGTGAGCTCCTGTGCGCAGGGGACTCAGACCTCTCCATGCCCGGACGCACAGCATTGTGAAGCGGACTGAGTGGCCGAGCTGCTCGCTGCCTGTGTGCTGGGACTGTGTGCTGGGACTCTGTGCTGGGACTCTGTGCTGGGACTGTGTGCAGCTGCTGCAACCCAGCACAGTTAATCACTAACCTGCTTTTGTAAATATTGACCAGAATTTGTGATTTCTGAGCAACTTTGAAAGTGTCCCAATCCTCGAGCTGACTGACGCAGGATCCACGTTTCGCTGTGTAACCGCAGCTTTGCCTCAAAGTGCGACTTTTCTCTTCATTTCACACGATTACTTTCCTGGTAGAGAGCGTCAGTCAGCTTACACCGGATTAAAGAGCCTGTCAGCGGTTAGGAAGAACCACTTTCACCGCGCAGTGTTAGCCAAGGGCCGCAACAGACACAAAGCTCCGCCCAGCAGCAACAAGGGCTCATGGAGCAAAAGCTGGTCCCAGGTCGGTTTACTGTCAGCATGTGAACCGGTATGGAAGATAAGGGTGGCAAAAATACACACTGTCTTTACTCAAGTAAAATAGCAGATATTTGTAAAAAAAAAAAAAAAAAAAAAAAAAAGACCCTTCTTTACGACGGAGTATTAGGGCCAGACAAAAAGAAAAATATATTTTCTTATAATAAAGTCGTAATATTACGAGAATAAAGTAGTAGTTTTATGACAACTGTCAGCCTTGTTTGCTCAGCCAGGAAAACTGTTATAAACTGTTTAAGGACGAAATGATCAATACGTTAGTTTACCTGTTGACTGTACGGTACGACTGAGACAAACAGCGGCTGCTGGGCTCAGGCTGAGACTGCTGATTGGTTGAGCTGCTCACGTCAGATCTTCATAACTCTATCGAAGCTTTTTTCTCATTAAAACAACTTTCTTTCTTGTATTATTACGACTTTATTCTCATATTATTACGACTTTATTCTTGTAATTTCCAAAATTTTATTTCTGTTATTTCTTTATTTATTTTTCCTTTTAGTATGGCCCTAATACTCCATTGTACTTTTTCAACTTCTTTATATAAATAAAAGTGAAAAAGTACAGAATCTGAACTGCAATAAAAGTGTAAAAGTAAAAAGTACTCTCTTGGTTTCTGAGCTGAACTGAAACTTCAGATAGTGTTGAGTCTCCCTCTCTTGTCTGTTTCAGCTTTGTTATGTCTGTCAGGTGTGATACTGTACGGCCAACCCAACCCGAGGCCGAGCCCGAACCGAACCTGAACTTCCACTTAAATATAACAATATAATAATAAGTAATAATAATAATTTAAATAGTGTATTACAAGCTAAAGTAAACAACATTATTTAGTAATAATTTAGTGTAAATTGTTATAATAAATAAGATTAATTACAGTTGCATGCACTATTACCACCACTTAATTCAACGCATGGTTGCAAGATAAACATTCTAATTAATTAATTTAAATAAACCTTTTAAGTTGCAAACATTATTAAATAATGTGGTAAAACTAGTTCAAACTAATTTATGAGTACACTTTAATAAGACATTTCAACTAAAGTGGATTACATCGAACATTTTAAATAACACAAACTCAGTTTAAGTACAAAAGGATTCTTGATTAAGCAGCTTTTACTGGTGATTTTAAGTGACACTAACTTAGTTTTGTAAGTTACAGAAACATTCTTGGTTATTTACTTTTTTACTTGTATTTTATATTTTTAATTGAGTTTGTTTAACTTAAAATTTTTGATGTAATCAGTTTCAACAATTTTTTTGTTTACTGTTTACTAACTAATTTATCTGGTTTTACAGTGTCTCCTAATCAAACAGAAAACTTGTTTTTATGCCATCAAATAGTAATTAAGTTGTAATTTAAAAAACCTTAATGTAGAGGAAAAGCTAATTCCCTGTACTCAGTGTGGTACATTTGTTGAACACAATTTCCTTAGAAGTTGTCATGACTCAAAAAGATTGATGCAAACTGTTGCATGAAATGTTTTTGGTGAGCCAAAACATTTGTTTTTAGAGTGTATTAATAAAATAAAAGTATATAGTTAAAAAAAAGGCTATAAGTTATTTTCATAAAAGTTACTGCAGCTTTAAGTAAACGATTTAAATACTTCCTCCACCCTTGTGTCGATATAATCTATGTTGAAGAAAATAGAATAAAAAATATAATGTTCAGAATCAGTGAAATCAGTTAGTGGACAGAAATGACTGAAAAAGTTCATTTACGTTTAAAAAATGTTGATTTATCTTTAAAAAGGAACACCAGACGTTGCACATATAAAAATGACCACTCTGACGTTAACATTGACAACATCAACAGAAAAAGGAACTCTAATGAAAGGAATACAAACAGAAAACAAGATGATTACCATGTCTGTAATAGATAGTATCACAAATTATATTAGAATGACATGTTAGTATAATTACTAAAAGAGACATGAAAAACAAAGCTGACATGTTACTGTTTAACGTGGGCTTGATGGTCCTCCAGCCTCTGGTTGCTTTGACACTACTGCCACCATGTGGAGAACAGTGTCATCGCAGTGTTCTGCAGCTTGTGCCGTCAAATTAGCCTCCACTGATGCAAATGTAATACAAGCATTGTTATTTGAATTATCACAGCTGTGTGTCTCTCTTCTTTAACTTAAGCCTGTCACCGATGCTATGAAAGTAATACTAAACCTCCTGTAGGAGCTCCCTCGTTTATCTCATTTAAGGAAAGACACCAGGGTAAACATTTTAAGTAAGATATCGCCATGAAACTTCTGATATTTGATGCAAATGTGGCAGTATTCAACTAAATATGCACTATTTTGTACACGACAGAAATCGGAACTTTGGATGAATTATAGACGTATTAGGGTGAAATATTTTTTTACTGAGGGAATTTTTTATTCCTCTTCATTACTCCATAAATCAGAAAATACTGTCAACAACAGCCATAAAAAATTATTTCATTCCATGTTTTTAAGAATAAAATATTATATAAACCAGCTGTAAATAATAAATGAACAAAACCCTCAGTAAAAAAACCTCCAGAATATAGATAGTGATGAAAGTGGGAAGCATGTTAGTGCTACTGTGGAGATTTCTGGCTCTGAGAAAAAAATAGAAAAGGTACGTATTGTAAAATTACATTAAAAAAGTTGAACTAATATATCTCACCATGAAACGATTACTTGATGATTACTTACATAAGATTATTTTTGTGTGTGAGTTTTCTGAAATGTTATGTTGAATGATTTAAATGAGGCGTTATCTAATGCTAACTTTTGGATTAAAATTCAGATGCAAATAAACAACTTGAAACACCTAAATGTATATTTTGGGCTTCTTCTTTCCACTAGTCTGAGAAAGGGTTTCTAGCTAGCACCAAGGTTCAAATCCTGAATGGAAGCGGTTCAAGAATCAGAGTTAATTTGTTGGAAAAATACTGTATGTGGCACAAAAGTATGTGAACACTGGTCTGAAGCTGTTCCATGGTTTGGGTAAGGTGCTTTATTTCCAGTTAAAGGGGAACTTCCTCAGATTTTTACCCTAGTCTTGATCACTAGAGGTCACCGAGTACTGTCGATAGGAAAAACAACGACCAGAATTGGTTCTAGCAAACTGGAGTTCCTGCAGCTAATGGCCAGAGCTCCCAGTTAGTTATAATACACTTCTTGGGGGCATATCCTAAAGAGTGCCTTTAGCTCCTCTTAACAGACACAAAATGCTGTTAAAATGTGTGTGCAACATGCTCAGGGCCCTTACGTGACAACAACATGCCTTTTCAACTCATACGTTGTGCAGAAACCGTACAAACAGTACTGTCGCCTACCTGTTTTTCCACCGCTCGCTTCACCGAAAGCCCAGAATAATCGATCATGGAGATAATGCCTTCACCACGAAAAAAAAGTTTATTTCCCCTCAAAAATGTCCATGTCTTCACACACTACTCTCCGATTTGCACACTTCCTGCAACAATTTCTTCTTCTGCTTTTACCTGCAACAAGTGAAATCCCAGCGCGGGACTCACGCTGAAGTCCCGTGGGATAGACGCAGAAGAAGAAGAGATTGTTGATCGGAGGTGTTTACAAGTGAAGAAGCTTGGAGTAAGAATAACGTGTGTTGATCTACTGTGGAGAAGAAATGGTTCGCGTTTGTGCCTTTCCAAATGGTGGCAACGGAATGAGAAGGTACAAGTGCCTACACTTTCATCGTCTACCTTCCATGACCATGAGACACTGCAGTTGTGGCTAGTTGTTCTTCAGCTGGATGTGCAAACTCCCATACAAGTACTATGCGATCACGGAGATAATGCCTTCGTTTATTTCCCCTTAAAAATGTGTTGCCGCACATCCCTTCTCAAGCCGTGTCTGCCAAAACGAAGCTAAGTGAAGTTATGAATATAACATTACCTCCACAGTGGTTGCAGCAGTCTTCATCCTCGGAATGGCATTTCTCTTCAGCCGGCCCCGCTGTGTTGTGTCTCTGTAGTCATCCTCCTCAAAATGTTCGCTGCAAATGCGGTGATCTTTTTCGTATAGTACTTGTGTTGGAGTTTGCACATCCAGCTGAAGAACAACTAGCCAGGGACAGAAGGGCAGACTGAGCAAAGAAAATACAGCTGATACTGCGAGCTAACATCTCCCTGCTGGACGTCACATCTGGCTCCAACATCTGGTGGACAGACTGAACCCAGAAGAGAGGAGGTTGAGGTGTTCAACAATCACACATGAGTGTAAATGTTTGGATGTCCACATACTTTTGGTCACGTTGTGCGTATTGTACTTGTATCCAGTAATAACAGCGAGGGAGACAAACAAACACATTACTACCGATTATTGCAAAATCAATCCAAACACTGTCTTCACCTTTCTCCCCGTCTGATGTTCAAGGTCTTTGGGACTTTAGGCAACGTTGTTTGGACACTAACATCAGGATGGGATTAGCTGCTGTTGTCAGACCAGACGGTTTATCCACAAAAACACCAAAATGTGGAACCACTTTCTACTAAGACTGAAGAAGACGTGTGTAGTAAACAGATTATTACTGACTGTAAATGTTTTGGACCTTCATTTCTCATCTTCTCATCTTGTTGAAGCTTTCATTTAAAAAGGAAGGACCGCTGAACTTGTTAGAGTAACGGTTCTCATCCTAGGGAGAGACAGAATTTATCCAATGCAGAGGTCACATAAATTATAGTTTACCAGTGGAAACTGCCCATTTAATCTTGTAACTAATGTTTTTTTTATAAATATATAACTTTCACTGTATCTGTGTGAAAGACTCAGGTTGCTCTGGCTCCTCCTAGTGGCTCCTAACGGCATTTGCAAGAATCCACTGGACCTGAACAACAACAACCAATCAGAGCTGGAAAAAGACACTTTGGGTTGGAGGCTTGAAGATAGTTGATTGTGTTAAACCCAGGGCGTCAGATACAGATACTTTGGGACCCAGGTCTGGTGGATTCTTGCAGATACCATTAGGAGCACTAGGAGGAGCCAGAGGAACCTGAGGTGAACCATGGGTTTCCCACCGTCTTTAGACCCTCATGTGTGCAGTTATTAGGGTTAGTAAGTGTTTAATCAAGTGTTTTTACAGTAATCTGAAGACAGCAGTCGTAAATGTAAATCATTTGTCAATAACTGGTTTTCAGTCTACAGCACTTCTTTCGGTCAGTCCACTGGAGGGATCTTCTGTGACCTGCTGGAGGTGGAAACATGTTTCTGTTACACATCAAGTCTTTAAACACAAGAACATAAGGCTTTATGGAATACAGTAAACAGATTTATAATAAAATGTCCAAATACAGTGTTACTTTAGCTGTTCTTAGAGAGTGATTTTATATTATTATTTCACTATAAGTCACTATAATCATAGTAATACACTTTCTATTATTGTTGAATATGATCAAGTTATTGTAAGTTGTTCTCTTTGTAAGTCCTGATTTTTAAAGCCTGGGGCACTTTTATCTTTTATCTTCATCCTTTATCATGTTTGTATCATGTTTGTTTGTTGTCTCTATTGTTTGTTTGTTTGTTTTGTCATAAGGACAACCCAGCTCTACCTACAGGTACCAATAAAGTAATGTTGAACCTTAAGCTCACTGTGTATGATCACTATCTCTTCCACTAACGGCTCCATTTTAAAGCTTCAGGGTGAAAATATCTGATTATCTGTATACTGGGGTCCACACAGTACTGGAGTTGCATAAACAGGGAATGACGGAAAGCTGAGGCACGTACTTGATGCCCCCTCCCCCAGTCAGAAAAGTGTGGAAACGCCCCTGCGCACACCAGAACTGATCATAAAACACAATAAATTGACTATTAATCAGCGACTGAGATCAATAAACAAATAAACAAATAAACAAACTACAGTAGCATTAGTCACGTTCATGGTAGTGAGCTCGAGGCTATTATTAGAAAGTTACGTCACGGCACAGTGGAGCGCGCCTGCATCTCTGAGAACATCATAATCACCGCCGTTAGCGGAGAACTGCGGGTCCCTCCCTCTCCCCCACATGGACCGGAACCACGCAGCACCACGTGACCCCGGAGCCCTGGACTGAGCGAGCGTCTCACACCGCATCATGGCTGCGGAGGATGCGGCCGCGCGGTCCGGAACCGGAGCCCTGCTCTCCCGCGGGGCTCCGCTCTCTCCCTCCCGCCTGCTGCTGCTCTCCCTGGCCGCCTGCTCTCTGCTCCCCGCCCCGGCGCTCGGCTTGCTCGGCTTTCGGCCGGAGGAGACCGGGGCGGAGCTGTCCGTGGAGGACGGGGTGCTGAAAGCCATCGAGGGGACCCGCTTCATGCTGCGGGTTTATTACTCCACCTCCCCGCAGAGGCTCAACCGCACCGCGGGGACTCGCGCCAACAACGCCGCGCCCTGGATCGCCTTCATCGAGGAGCCAACTCCCGGGCGAGAGGGACAAGTTCACCCGAAGCGGAACATGTGCATGGACAAGAACGCCAGGACGTCCGACATCGAGGTTTTAGGTTCTTTCAAGTCTGCCTCCAGTCAGAACTCGGTGCTGGTGGAGCTGCTGGCCAAGGACCTGCGGAGGGGGGAGAAGATCAAATACTACTCCATGTGCGCCTTCGACGGGTCCAAATGGGAACACTACCGGACCCGGGATTTCTGGGTGGCTGTGGCGGAGCGGTCGGCTGTCCCGGAGCTCTGGCTGCAGGTGTTGGTGTCCGTGCTGCTGCTCGGACTGTCAGCCCTGTTCAGCGGGTTGAACCTCAGCCTGCTGGCGCTGGACCCGGTGGAGCTGCAGGTCCTCCAGAACAGCGGCACCGACAAGGAGCAGAACTACGCGCGCAAAATCGAGTCTGTGCGTCGGCACGGTAACTACGTCCTGTGCACTCTGCTGCTGGGGACCGCGATCATCAACGCCTCGCTGGCCGTGTGGATGTGCCAGATCCTGGGCATGACCTGGCTCTCCACGGTCATCTGCGCCTTCGGCATCTTCTTCATCGGGGAGATCCTTCCACACTCGGTCGCGTCGCGTCACGGTCTGGCCATCGCCTCCAAAACCATCTGGGTGACGCGGCTGCTGATGGTGCTGTCCTTCCCCATCTCCTACCCCATCAGCAAGCTGCTGGACCTCATCCTCAACCAGGAGATCTCCAACTTCTACACCAGAGAGAAACTCCTGGAGATGCTGCGCGTCACCGACCCCTACCACGACCTGGTCAAAGAGGAGCTCAACATCATCCAGGGCGCGCTGGAGCTGCGCACCAAGACCGTGGAGGACGTCCTGACGCCGCTGACCGACTGCTTCATGCTGGCCTCGGATGTCGTCCTGGACTTCAACACCATGTCGGATATCATGCAGAGTGGATACACGAGGATACCGGTGTTCGAGAACGAGCGGTCCAACATCGTGGACATCCTGTTCGTCAAGGACCTCGCGTTCGTGGACCCGGACGACTGCACCCCGCTGAAGACCATCACCCAGTTCTACAAACACCCGCTGCACTGCGTCTTCAACGACACCAAACTGGACGCCATGCTGGAGGAGTTCAAGAAAGGTGAGGAGGGCGCGCAGTGTGTGTGTGTGTGTGTGTGTGTGTGGCAGAGCTGAAACTTTATTTATAAATACAATGTTTTTAACTGCAGCCACATTGGAAAAAATACATTTTATCAGAGAAAAGTAACATTATTGTTGTGTAATATTATTTATATTATATTCAGATGTGATATTATTATTTATGACTACTGATACAAACACAAACAAACCCAAGTCTTACTGTACACGTGTAGAAATGTGAGATCTGATCAGCAAATACCTGCTGGGGAGATTAGAAATGGTCAGTAATTGCCTCCAGTCCTCACCAAATAGTAAAAACTCTGTGTAATACCGATTATAAAATACTTTATTCTGTCTCTGAGCCTTTTATTTATCATCATCACGGCTCCTCAAAGCAGCAATACTTTGTGCCAGAGTTAGTGTTGGCATGCAGGAGGGGAAATGAGCCCACTGGGAGACTGGTATTTGATGGGTGTTTTAGTTACCATGGTAACCTCTAGGTGAGGGTGCACTGGCCTGTTCATCCTGATCCCTTTTTATCTGTTGCTTAGCACTTGTATAAAGCACATCTCATCAGCCTCATCTGATTTTCTTTCTTTATATGTGGCTGGTGAGGAAATGTGTACCAACCTCGGGAAGAAGACGGTTTTAAATGTGTAGAAGTAGTTTAACGGAAAGTTGGACTAAAGTAAGAGAGTACTGAAGGGCGATTATGTGAGATTATCACCTGACAGTGATAATATGTCCCAAGTGAGCAGCTAATGGAACTGCAGAGATCAAACACAGATCAGGTAAAGGGTAATTACAGGGGGTCTGAAGGTCTTCTCCATGTGAGCTCATCAGGATAAAGCCCAGGTAGCCCACTGACGAAGCACGCTTGTTTAATTCAAAAACCATCTGGAACAGGCGTTGACATCGGCCTCCTATTAACCATGGTTACTGGCCAATCAGTGTCGCTTGTAATCGTATGCTTGGCTGCCAGATCGCATCTCACTGGCAATGGCAAAAGCATTGTTCTTCTGTCCTGGTCTGGACTCTGTCTCGACTGGTCTTGGACCTCGACAAAGCTGGACTTGACCACAGCACCGGGTCAGGATTAAGTGACTAATTAAGTGAATTTTAAGGGGAAAAGGGGAAAGAGTTTACGAGTTACTTCTGTTTAGAGACACACAAGGTCAAATAAGTATAATTTCCACATTAGAATCCTTAAAAAAGCATCTGCTCCTTCCTCATTTAAAATTCCAGAGGATATGAAATATGGAAATGTTTTTCATTTTCTTAAGTTTTCCTGCTGGACACAAGATGTCTCCTCCTGCAGTGTAAAGTCCATCCTCAGTGTCTGTGCACTGCTGGATCACACTGTGTAAGCTGCACACTGGACCAGGATTGACTTACATACATTTTCCTTCATTGTATGTATGTATGCTCAGTTTGGGAATAACGTTTATTTGTATTTATTTGTTTTACTGGCTGCATAACGTCACACACACAAACAAAACTCAAAAAGAGTTCAGGAAGGTGTGACAGCAGAGCTACCCTTGAGCATTGTTCTTTATCTGCTCCTTTAAGGCTGCTAATTAGTTAGCAGTTGAGTCTTGTGGATGTGTGCCTGTGTAAATATGAGCTGGAGAAGAGCTCGCAGTCTGCATGGCCCCTCCCTGCATCAGAAGAGAGAGCTAAAGCCCAGCATGCAGTGCTGCTGCAGCAGAACAGTCTTTTCTCCTGTGTGGAGTCAGCTGGTACTCCTGCTTTATTGTAGAGTTTAAAATGGGTGGGGTGCTCGCTGGCCAATCACGGGCCTCGCTCTTCATCACTGCCTTGCTGCATGTTCAAGGGACCCTGCACAGTCAGCGTTTTCTGCTGGGTTTGTGGTGAGGACAGGAAGAGACGGAGGTAAACAGAGAAGGACACCTTGAAGGCAGCCTCTGTTTACAGCAAACAGCAGCTCACATGTTTACATTTCTGCTTATTTTAAATCACATTTTCAAGATAAGCCTTGTTTTTAACTGGACTACTTTGCATATTTTGAAAGGCTTTTTACAAATGCACATACGTTAGAATTTTCTAGACCTTGAAAAGACGCTAATCCAAAATTGAAGCGGCAGGGTAATCTTACATCCAGCTATCCAGTGTGATCTCCATATGTATGTTTCTATAAAGCCACAGAACATCAGGCCTATGTCACTGCCACACATGGATGAGATGGTAGACATACACAGGCTAGAGGATTAGAAACAAGGTCTTTCTTTTGCTCTCTCTCTCTCTCTCTCTCTCTCTCTCTCTCTCTCTGTAACAACACTTTCAGGCACTGCGGCAGTAAAACGCAGGTTCCCTCATTCATTTCAATTAAAGCCCTGCAGCAGTGGATGCTGCCACAGAGAAACACAAAGCAGCGGTGTAGTAACTTGGCATTTAGTAAATCAAACTGGACTTCCTGGTTTGTACGTCTTCTTCTACCTGGACCCTGTAGCAGCACACCCACAACTAGGACTTTGTGTTGTTGTGCCGTTGGCGTCTGTATTTGACAACCTGGTACTGGAGAAGTGTGTAGAAGAAACTATAGCCCTATTCGCACGGGACTAGTATTACCTGGGGACCTCATGTTATTTAGTAATTAACCCACCCCGGGTGTGTTTCGTGCGGCGCATTCGCACGGGATAAGCAAAGTCTGTGTTTTAACTCAAATTTACTGACATTATCCCCCGGATATGATGTCAAGGCTCTGCGTAACCTATGCGTAACCTAAGGAGCAGCACAACGGTTAGATATGGATATTTTTAATATAATAATAACTGGTGAGCCTGTTGAAAGATAGAAAAATGTTCGTTACCACATGCTGCCATGCATGTAATCCATCTAACCATCTTTCCAGATTTTGCTCTTCTGATGGATTTGAGCTTGCTCTTTCTGCGAATGGGTCTCCATGCTGTGTACCTAGATGAGCCTCCTGAATTTGCACCCAAAATGCTGTCAAAACTTTCATTTATAATTGCCAACTCAGACTCCATAATTCTCGACCGGGAAAAAGGCAGAAAAAAAGCGCGGAAAGCGCGGAAAACACAAAAAACCTTAAAAAAAACAAAAAACGACCCCAAATCACAGAGATGCCGATTCGCACGGGACTAATATTATCACATGACCTCTGTGTTTGGCGAAATAGGGTAGGTCATTTGCGGTGGAATTTTTACTTTACAAATTACGGACATGGCAGATTCGCACGGGATTAAGATCACAGTTTCTCCACTGCAATTATTACAATTACTAGAGGTCCCCAGGTAATACTAGTCCCGTGCGAATAGGGCTTAAGCTTGCTAGAAAACACGTGAAAAAAGCGTAAGGCCCTTTCTACAAGTCTCTCTACTGTAGATAAAACCAAACACTGGGTCTAGATAGGGTTGAAAGGTGGGGGTGAAGCGAGGGAGTTACAAACTGCAAGATAGCTAGATGCCTCTAAATCTTACACTTTAAGATGCTACTAGATTGTAAGGGCAAAAGTGTAAACAAGTCCCAAGTCAGTCTTGGCTATCAAGTCCTACGTCAAGTCATTAAACCACCTTTGTATAGACAACCTGTATAAAAACTCAATTCATTATCATCAGTGTAGGACACTGGAGAAACATCATCTATTATTATTATTATTGAGATCATTAAAAAATGTCTGTCTTGTCTGTAGTAGATAGTCGAAGAGTTGGATGGGAGACGCAGTATTTGGACAATAAATCATCCATTTTCCTGCCAAGAATTGGTAAAACACTGATTTCACTACATCCAAAGACACTGCAGAGGTGTAGCAACAGAGTCCGCCGGTCTGGTGAGACTACGGAGGGATTTTTTGGCCTGAATGCTAAGCAGTATGTCTGGCACAAATGAAGCCGGCCAAGTAACACCTTCCCCACTGTGAACAATGGCAGCAGTAGCGTGCTGGTACAGAGAACCTTTTCAGTGCCAGATGGGAAGCTGAACGGTGAATCCTGGACCAGAGTCGGCATCCCTCTGCCTGAAAGCTCAAACTAAAGAGTTACGATGGGACAAAATACACAACGAGAACAGCGTTAGCTTCAAAATTAAGATAATAAAAGTGTGGCCAAGCAAGAGCTTTGACTCACATTGGAGATCTCAAACTTTCTGTATATCACCTCCATCAACTAACCCAATAAAGTTTCCATCTCAGAGACCAAACTTACCTGAGTGATAGCAGGTACCAGATGTTAGACCTAAATGGGATTTTTGAGACTGGTACCGATTTTTAAAGGGAAAACATTGTAATGATTGTAGGACTTTACTTAAAGGACCAGTGAGTAGGATTTACTGACATCTAGTGGTGAAGTCTCAGATTGCAAGTAGCTGAACACCGCCGGCGTCTGTATATGACGATCTGGGAATGAAAATGATGAAAGGAAAAATGCGAAAGGCCATATCTAGAGCCAGTGTTGTGTTTGTCCTGCCTGGGCTGCTGTAGCAACATGGCAGTTCAACATGGTGGACGGTTCTAAACAGCTCATTCTTAGGTAACGGAAACACAACAGTTCCTATATTCAGGTGATTAAACACTAATGAAAACATAGCTATGAATATTTCATTTCATTTCTACCAATCGTTCCTCCTAAATGATACACACAGGACCTTTAACCAGCTCTTCTACTGACAGATATTGATCTATATAATACACGGCTGCCCTGTTATCCATAGCCATTTATTTTCTCCCTCTGAATCCTTTCCCCTCTCTCTCTGTCCTTGTCACTGTACGGTCTCCCAGGAGGCTGAGTATAAAATATTCAGTGTGCTGTACTTCCAGTTTGTCTCCCTGCCATCTGCTGTCTGTATTCATGTATCAGCTGATCAGCTCTTATCCCACAAACACAAGTGCACGTAATAAAGTGCCATTCACAGCATATGTGTTCATCCAAAGTAATCTGAAGCATTTTCAATGAGCGAGCACTCTATTATGAGTCCTTCCTGGTCCATAGTGTCAATTCAGTAGCCTGAAATGATTTTAACATTTACCAAACTCTATTACTCTGTTGGCAGTTTCTTTCTTTTGGTCGCTGTTATGAAGTTACTGAGTTTAGCTTCCTCTGAAGTCCACACATGTGCAGTTCTCTCCATCTAAACGAGGTGGTCCCAGACATCGGACACAGTATGAATGGACAGGAACAAAGGATGCATTCATTACAGGGAGCACTGTATAAAGTAGCCTTTCTATCCAAGATGTTACAAAAAGACAGATACTGTATATAAAGTACATATCTGTGATATCCAGGACTCACAATGAAACTGTATTTCTTTCTTTTTGTTTATTTGGAAATGCTTAAATTACCTCTCATCTGGCAGGAAACATGTTAAAGTGAATGAGAAACTGTCTTGTTTGAAATGTTTGATTTTAGCAATATGGTCAAGCCATGTTTCAGGAATTATAGAAGTGATAAATGCTGTATTATAATGCACAATAAACAGCAAAGGTGTTGAAGGCGATGTGAATTAAATATACCATTAATCCATTAAATAGACCTGGTTATTAATTACAAAACTGAAGGACAACTTTTAAAAATGGCAAAATCACAGATTTTTGTCTTATTATATTCAACTCGTCAGCTTAAAAGGATGAAAAAACACAGGTCAAATTTGTATGCAGTACACCACATTACATTATTTCTGTATAATTCAGGGGATCAAGCATCGGAAAGTCAAGTGGCACTCGGGCTTGTAAAAGGGATTTCTTGCCTGTTGAGTTATTAAAAGGTCAATTTACCCAAATCACAAAAGAGACAACAGCTACCTCTCTTCCCAGAAACTCTCTTCTCCGCAGTGGATGGATTATCTGGATTATACAGAAGAATTATCAAGTGGAAAAATGATCATTGTCATGTGTCCCATCTTTCATCTGCTTTCTTTGCCCCATTCTTCCACCAAAAATCAGCTTTTAGATTTATCAGGTTTCTAGTACACAGTAGTGCATTTTATTTCTCACAGTTTATCGACCATTCAGTGTTAGAATTCACTTTATTTTCTCTTCTCAAAGATGGCGCACGGCTTGTCTCTCTTTGATGTTATCATAGTGTAATTGTGTAAATACAGTTTTCTTTATATACAGTCTGCATAATCAATTGAAATATTATCGAAAATCGCAACATGCAAATCAAAGAAGCTGTAATTTGTGTTGATTAAAGGTAAAATGTGTAACAAACAGCATCATAATGAAGTACTGTAGAGCTGCAGAGACTTCCTGACCCACAAATGTTGATCTCCAGATGTAAGAAAATGTGTTTGTTCAACAAATGTCACATCACCACGATTTTAATAGTTTCGGGGTTGTTTTTTATGACTGTTTTTTTACTATATCGTGCAGCCCTAATAGTCTAGCTATCATTCTAAAGCAGATAAGACTAATATTCGTCTCACGTTCTGAAACCCTTTCTGTTCACAACGTTTAGGCTGCATGGAGGGAAATCAAGGAGTTTATAGAAGGTTTGGAGGACAAAGAAATAATGTGAGGAAAAATAAGTGTGAGGAAGACTCTGAAACATGTGGTTATTAAATCTACAGAGTCCAGACGGAGAGAACATATAGCACATTAGCTGCAAATGCTCTCTCCTCTGCCTCTTTCACTCTATAAGGCTGACCTATTTAGCTGAATGCAGCTCTGCCAGAATTGTGTGCATTTGTGTGTGTGTGTGTGTGTGTGTGTGTGTGTGTGTGTGTGTGTGTGTGTGTGTGTGTGTGTGTGTGTGTGTGTGAGGAGAGAGAGAGGTAGTATTTGGCAGGCAGAGAGTGTAGAAGCAGAGAGAGAGAATCTCAGTGAGGAAGTTGATTTGGAGCCAGACTGTTGAGGAGGAGCCACAAACAAGGATTCACTCTGTTTTCTGACAGTGTATACTGTATATGTGTGCAGGGTTGTGCGTGCGTATTTCTGTATTTTTGTATCGTTTTCTGACAGTAAAGTTGTGAATTATGCAACGGTGGGACAAGAGACGCAACACACAACTGCTGCTGTCTGCAGTGCAGTGTCTCGTTAGCCAGTAAGACACATGTTGGCATCAGGACAAACACACACACACACACACACACACACACACACACACACAACCCTCCCCTCTTGTTCCTTCCGTTTCGTTTACAGGCCCAACTTGAAGTCCTATTTAAGATCCTGTCAGGCTGACTAAAGACTGCTTGTGTTTTGTTTTACTTTCTTCTCCTACATAATCTGCCCCCTGAACACGTGTTTCATCCAGCAGTGCGTGGATTATTAATTATTCCATTTATCTTTGGGAACGCCCCAAAGGTTTCTACCTCCAAACACACTCTCTCATCATCCTGGAGGTAAACACAGCAGAAGCAGCGCAGACTGTGATGTATTGTGTTTCTGCATCCAGAGGACTGTGTGTTGTTTCTTTTGTATTGAATCATCCCTGCTGTTACACCCACTCCATTCAGATCCTGCTGTTGCTCCACTTACTGAACATCAGACTGCAGAGCTCCACTCCCACTCGATGTGAGTCATACATGTGAGGGGAAACAGTTTAACGCTAATCTAATCCAAACGCTAAATATAAAATCTAATGATCTTATTTGACAATGTGCAACCATTGTGCAGAGTAACTGTATTCTGGTTCATTAATCACTTGGTCAGATTACTTTGAACTGTTGTGAGTTAATTAATACAAATTACACAGCAATTTTTGTAATCCAGTGCAATCTAATCTGAATACTTTGGGATTAATTCAATATCAAACATTAAAAATATTACACCTCGAAATGAGCACAGTGACTTCCCATTGTGGGAAAACTAATTGTTCAAGAAGACTCAGATCAGGTAATTAGATCAATAATCAACCCACACACACACACACACACACACACACACACACACACACACACACACACACACATATATATATTAAACACAATCCTATTTGTGCTAATAAGTAGAAACATTATTGACTGTAACTGTATAATTGGCACCAAGCCACAGGTGTGATGAGGTTCAGTCTCTGAAACACTGCATCTTTTGAATAAATTGGCCTACTCTTAATTAATTGGGTTTAGTTGAAGTCTGTGGTTGATGATCTGCAAAGAACATTTTAATTTACATATTCTTGAAGTGGATTCTGCTGGTTTCAATCCCGGACTCGTTGTTATGTTAAATTCCAGATGAGAAAACTGAATGAAGACAGAAATCTTACATTTAGTTGAAAACTTTCTTGTGAAATCAAAGTTGCAGATAATGCTGTTCCATAATCATGTCTGCTCACGTTATGTTGACGTATAATCTATACAGTGCAGCATCTACACATATCATTTGTTTGCTGCCGTCTGTGCCTGCTTCTGAAGGTATTAAAACAATGCATTGTGGGTTAAAAGTGATGCTTGTTCATTCTCTCCTCCAGGGAAGTCCCACCTCGCCATCGTGCAGCGAGTGAACAACGAGGGCGAGGGCGACCCTTTCTATGAGGTGATGGGCATCGTCACCCTGGAGGACGTCATTGAGGAGATCATCAAATCAGAGATCCTGGACGAGACAGACCTCTACAGTATGCATGCACACACACACACACACACACACACACACACACACACACACACACACGTAATAGGACAAAATGAAGCGTGATCTGAACATCCTCGTTTTGTGTGTGTTGGTGTGTCCTGTCAGCTGATAATCGCTCAAAGCGCCGCGTCTCTCACCACGAGCAGAAGCAGCAGGACTTCTCCATCTTCAAACTGTCAGAGAACGAAATGAAAGTGAAGATTTCTCCTCAGCTCCTCCTGGCAACCCACCGCTTCCTGTCCACAGGTAACGGCCAATCAGTGTGTCTGCGTTCTTGTACCTCTACACTGTTTAGAACAGCTTGGGTCATCAAGGCCAGGTTCAGGAAATCTTAAGGTGGTTCAGTCTACATCCTACTAGAACTGTTGTTTGTTTGTAAAATGTCTTAGTTTTTGACCTCAAGGCTGTAAGGGGAAGGAAATCAACATATGGTGAACGCTCAGTAACAGTGATACTCTCCTCCCTCCATCAGAGGTGGAGCCCTTCAAACCAGCTCACATCTCAGAGAAGATCTTGTTGAGGCTGATCAAACACCCCAGTGTGGTTCAGGAACTCAAGTTTGATGAGAAGAACAAGCGAGCACAGCAGCACTTTCTCTTCCAGCGCAACAAACCGGTGGACTACTTCATCCTGGTGTTGCAGGTAAGTGCCTATATATTTTAGATGATTGGTGCTTTTATGCACAAGCAGTTAGTGGTTCAGTCCCTCCACAGCGTTGTGAGAGGATCAGCTGATACACAGTGGCTGTTGTGGGTATAAAACCTGAGTGCTGCAAAAGATACATTAATGTGTCCTTGTGTAATAAAGAGCCCTGGCCGTTATGTCAGCATGGTGTTTTTGTGTTTCTCTGGTGTGTTTCTTTAGGGTCGAGTTGAGGTGGAGTTTGGTAAAGAGGCGCTGAAGTTTGAGAATAGCGCCTTTTCTTACTTTGGGGTACCTGCCATCATGCCAACAGGTACAAATACACACACACACACACACACACACACACACACACACACACACACATTGTGCTTGTATCCCTACGGAAAAAAACCTCTCCCTAACCGTATATCCTGCCTTAACCTGAACACCTGAATCTAATCCAGATTTTAATCTAAACCCTAAAGCAAAGACCTAATCCTAATTTAACCCACTGTAGGACTTTCCACATCTTCACTCCAAAGATTTTTACTCACAAGTGGCTCTCACAATTACAGAGAAGCAGAGACAACCCCAGACATAGAAAAGTTTACAAAGTCATGGACACACAGCCCAAATTAAACCAATCACACAATTCATGGAGTGCATTTGAACACACACATACACAAAGGAAGAGATATACTGTTTATTGTAGGGAAATCAAAGCAGTTCAATCACAAAAAACAGTCAACATCAGTAAGAATCTACAGTATGTCCAGATAAAGTATTGCTTGTGTGTGAGCACAGTGTGTGTTTGTTTGTGAATGTGGAAACCTGCTCGGGAGAAATCCAACTCCCCAGAAGTCTTCACTTGTGGCATTTAAATTGCTCTGAACAGCTTGAAATATGCAAACACTTCCAAGTCATTGAATGCAGCATTCATCAAGTTCAGCGACTGACATGAATGAACGTTTTCAGTTGCAGCAGCCAGGCCCTTCGCATATTAAGCAGTGTGAAACGAGGTAGCGTCCCTGATCTCACTCATGATTTGATGCTGATTGATTGACACTGCCAGTTCTTGTCTGACTGCGTGAATGTGTGTCTGCTGCAGTCCACAGATCCCCCTCCCGCAGCAGTGGTTTGGACCGCTCTGAGTCCATGCTGTACGGAGGAAGCATGAGCCAGCTGAACGGAGGGGGGAACGTCTACCTGCCGGACTACTCTGTCAGGCAGCTCACACACCTTCAGATCATCAAGGTAACGCCTGAATGTTACACAGCAAACTTCATGTTTTCATTTATTACTCAACTATCTCTATAAACAGATACAGTAGTGGGCAAGGGACAAGACTTTGGTATTGGTTTCTGTCTGTAGTCAGAGTATTATCGAACCAATCCTGTTTGGATGCATGGAGGGAAACAGTCCATGTGGAGAGCAGAAGAGGCAGAACGGCATTGGCCAAAATGAAATCTTGGAGCCACTCTGCGATTGTCTGCTGATGATTAACTTTTTATTAGCTTTCTTTTGCATTTATATGCAGATATCTCTTGTAGCCGAAATGTAACAAAAATCCTGAACAATCCGGACATAGATGTCATCGCCTAACTCCAACTCCATTCTGGCATCTTGTTGCTAATCAGACTGTAAACAGTGACTTCCCCAAAGCCCCAAAACATTGGCCCGGTGCCCCCAGAGGCTAAATCATCTGCAGACGATAACCGATGCCAAGATTGTTCCTTAACTGTTTTCACCTTTATCTTTAAAGGCAGCTTCAGGCTGGGTTTTCTTCCTTTGATTTATTTGGTGATTTTATGAAGGGGTTCATTTCACGCAGCACATGCTGTTAGTATGCATTTAGGATTAACTAAACAAACTGAATTAATGAAGCTAAATTAATGAAGATTTGTTTTTGTGATAAGTTGTGTGGTAATCTGTTCAGTGGTTGTCGAGAAATCGTGAACCGAACAGCCGACATTACTGCTGCCAAGGCATCTTTTTGTTGCATTACAAATGTAAAAGGAAAAAACAACTATATGTAAAAATCACTGCTGTTGTGGTAAACCTTTTATATCCAAAATGGGAAAAAACTGTTAAAGTTTGTTTTCTTATCCTCAAGAGAAATATGTGATTCTTCAGTTGAGATTAAAACATAAAACTGATCTGTTCTGTTCGTTTAATACTTGAATCACACTCACTCCAACAGGACTTCATATAAATATATTCAAACAGCTGCACATTTACTTTTATTGGAGCAAAATCTTAGCAAAATAACATTTTGTCATGGATGATTTAATAATACCCATAATCCTCCTCTGTGTCAGATCACACGGAGCCACTACCAGAACGCTGTAACAGCCACCCGGATGGACAGCTCTCCTCAGACGCCTGACGCCGACGCCCGTCTGACAGAAAGCAACACCGTGACCCCGGAGCCTCCGGCGGCGGAGCATGGGGCCACCCTAATGCCCCCGCAGCACACCACCGGGGCCACCCTCATGCCCCCCACCCAGAGAGCCCACCCGGCCCGGCTCAGCCCGAACACGAGGACAGCAGTCCAGCGTCCCACACAGCACCTCCCTGCTGAACGAGAAGAACCGCATCGTTCGTAAGTACCCGCGACCCCCGAGACACGGGGGTGGTGACGAGTCCACACAAAGAAAGAGTGGAAGAGGAAATGATAATCCTGCTGCAGGTTTACACTTCAGACTGATGTCAGTCGAAGAGGATCTGAGCCATCGGAGGCAGACAAACAAAGGCTGCTCCTTCAAATGAGTTTCTCAGAATCCATTAGGGTATTATATTCAGGATGAATAGAGTTCAATAACCGGAGCCAACTCTAACTGCAGAGAGATGTGTTTAAAAGAGTCTGAGGAGAGATAAACAGACACAGAAATGACAGCTTGAATATGAATGAGATAAGAAAGCATAAAGAAAAGATGACTACAGCATCTCAGCACAGTGTTTTTCTTTGTTTTTGTTTACTATGTTTAACTGGGAAGTAACTTATAGAACCAGCGTGACTTTCAGCCTTTTTGGACATGTTGGTTGGAGAGTTATTTTCTGATTAGGTTTTGGTTTCAGTTATTATGTAATAGTAAGTCATTTATTCGTGGGCAGATCAAGAGAAATATTAATGAGGTGTCCAGAGGGGTGGCAGAAATATCTGCTGATTGAATCGCAAACAATCATACATCAATATTTGGCACTTTAGTGAAGCATTGAATAGAATATCTAAAAGTGGCATTAGAAATCAATAATTTTCTCCCCAAAATCTTCAGACAGTATTCCAAATACAAGTCTTTTTTCATTGAATTTCAGCTTATGCCTTAGTCTAAAAATTCATCCAAATTAACATGTTCAATTTGACAGCATTTGACATTAAACTGGAAGCTGGGGTGGCAAGTCGTTTTTTAGATCTCTGTATTCCCCAAGGTTCCTCACATTTACTTTATGTATTCCTTAACATTTCTTTAACATTATACTGAGCTTTATGACTGTGTAAATGTGCTGCATCAGTGACCTTTGCAGCTACTGTAATATTAAACACTTCTTCGTGTTCAAATCATCTTTTTTTAAATCAACACTGGAGACAAACACTGTTTGAAATATTGATGCACCGCTTGAAATTATTTACTTTGTACCGAGCGGTTTACCAAATGATGCATCTCAGAAACTGCAATTGTTAATCACAAGAAAAATATTTGTCCTAATTTCAAAACCAAGCACCTTCCATCAGACAATGTGTGATATCAGTCTGAGTACAAATAAAACAAAAGGTGTCAGTTGGTGGATGTGTGATTTTTGGGAACCAGCATTTATAGGAAGATGTGTATGGACCTAAAGAAACAATCAATTCAAGAAATTATATGTTGAATCTTGTTGTCAATGAACGCTATCAAGTGCATATTGTCAATGTGTGCTTAGAATAGGAACATTTACATTGGTGGGCAGCAGAATAGACACTGTCACGTTTGGTTGGTTATATTTTATTGGCTTTAAAGCTGCATTAGGTAACTTTTATAAAACATATTTTTGGGGGTTTTTTTAACTATCTTTTCCAGACATTTTTATAAAGCTTTGCTACTGCAGCTTTAAAGTAATGACAAATTGGCACCCTGTCCAAAGTCTCTCATTGTGACCTCTGGGTGGGGAACATTTTTTATTTATTTATGAATTTAGTAAATTGAGAGCGTTCTGATGCATGTTTTTTATGTATGTGTGTGCTGCAGGCAGTAAGTCTGACGGCCAGAAGAGTCCCAGCGACTCAGTGTTTCTCAGGATGGATGAGATCCCCTACATCAGAGAGGACAGATCTGAGACGGAGGCACACACTGGTACGATGCCGAACTCCATTGTTAACTGCTGCTTTCAGATGAGAAATCTGATCTGAAGAGCTTTAATCCTTTTTGCATGATATGATAATAACTAGTGCCGTAACATCTTTTCTGCTTCCACTATGTTTTGAACTGATAGGTGAAGAATTGAGGCAGTTAGCGGGAGCAGAGCTAGTCACAGTGTGTAATCAAATAGCAGTCCCTACAGGATTTCAGTCTTTTTTGGGGATTATTGCATCCTAAAATGTTTGATTTCACAGCAGCTTTTCTAAAAAAATTGGATTGCATGTTGCAATGTTTTAGGCATTTTGGTAACGTAGAGCTAAACCTTTTGTGTGGGGGACTGCTACGATTGGTGAAAATCGCAGGAAACTACTAGGATTGGCCAAATTTGCAGAAAAAGATGCGATGACAAAATTGCAAGGTTGTAGATAATTCACAGAGATTGGGTGAATTTGTGATAATTGTTGCGATCCGAACATCACAACTTCCTGGAGGGACTGAAATAGAAGCTATACAATAATCTGGCGACCGGTTTTATGTGTTCGGGCCATCTAGTGGTGCCGGCATCACTGCTGTGGAAAGTCGTAGAGGCTCTATGACGGCTGCTACGACAATACCCAGAAATAGAGAAAAAACAGAGCAACCACATTTTAAGTGATGTACTGTGTAATACCGCTGAGCTAGCATAATCAATCACAGGCCAGTTATATCAGTGAAAACTTCAATACCAATTCATGTTTTTTTATACGTATTTAAGATTAATTAATGAATCGCTTGATGTGAACATCTTGGTCCTCTGCAGGCACAGGGAATTTATGGAAAGTGACAGACAGTAAAGGCTTGTGTGTTTCAGTTTCAGTTTTTTTTCCCAAAGTTGAAGTTTGCCACTACTGTTGGAGCAGCTGATAACTGTGCAGCTTCTTTCCTGATTTTTCTGGACATTGTTGTAAAGGTAACGTTACATAGAAAACAAAGGGAAAAGTAGATAATTGTACACTTCTTAGGACAGCTTGCATTTAAACTCGTGCTTACTGTAGGCAGACACCACCGCATCAATGGCGACGTGTTTACGTCCTGTACTTCCCCGGATTCGCGTATAAAGCACTTTTTAATTTTCATATCCCAGTATGTCCTGCAGCAAGGTCCTAAAAGTTGGTTGGCGAGACTTTGTCTTTGTCTTGTCTTTGTTTTCACCTTGTACACAAACTTAGCTAGGAGTCATACAGCACTTTAATCTTTCCTCCAACAGAGAACAAAGCTGTTCATCAGTGACAGGGTCATTACTGTCTCTCTCTCTCTCTCTCTCTCTCTCTCTCTCTCAGACATGGCCTCTGTTCCCATAGAAACGGACACGTCTCCTTTCATCAGCAGCCTATCGCTGAGCGGCTCAGAGGACACACTCGGCAAGAAACTCCTGCTCAAACTCAGTCAGTCCCACACACACACACACACCCACTTTGTCTTTCTACACTTGTGAGGACCCTGGATGACATAATGCGTTACCTCATCCCTAGTCCCCAACCTTAACCCCCTCTGACCTAAACTTAAGTCTAACCTTAAAACCAAGTATTTGACCTTTAAACTGTCCTTTGAAGTATTGAGGACTGTCCTCACAGTGCAGAGATGTCCTCACTGCGATTGTTTAAAACGGAAATTGGTCCTCACAAAGATAGCAGTACAACCCCCACCCACACACCCACACACACACAAACCACTTATTCACCAACCATTTCTATGCCTTTCTCTCTCTATCCCTCCTTGGCTTTCTTTCTCATGCAAACACAACCGCCATAGAAAACACAAATGCACCACCACCCACACACACACACACACACACACACACACACACACACACACACACACACACTCACAGCCACAGCTTCCCCTCCAGAATCTGCCTCCCACTTAAACTTACATTATTGTTTCCAATTTGCCCACTTGGCATTCCCATGTTGTTTTCTTAAAGGACCACACCAGTGTTTTTGCTCTACAAATGTGTACATGGGATGGATGTAGGTATGTAGAGCTGAATGCAGCCTTAACTTTTTTCATGATCTGTTCCTGTTAACGTCTCTTGTCTCCGCAGGCCACAAAAAGAGGAAAAAATCCCGCGAAGGAGAGAAAACGCCAGAGGACATTTCAGAACAGCCGCTGGTGAAAACCTAGCAGAGTGTGTGAGATAGAGACCCGAACACTGCGTCGTCTTTAAGTTGTTTGTAAAGACGATGTGGTTGGTGAACTACAGCTATCAGAGTTTTATCTGAAGACAACACCCCCCCCCCCCCCACACACACACACACACACACACTGTAGGTGATTATAAAGTGGACCCATCACCAGGAATGTACTGAACACATGGATGGAAGATACTATTTTATCAAAGTCCCGGGGGGTTGCAGCTTTGGCAATATGCATTAAACCGTAGCTTCTCATCTTCACAGGTTTTTCATGCTGATGCTCGTGTATAAACACATGACTGTGAATGTAAAAGGTTTGTAGTAAAAATAGTTTTTATACACTATATACCCTCCTCATGTCATCACTTCTCCAATGGAGCTCAAGGGAATAACAGTACACAGGAAACGGATGGAAGACACCAAAGATGTTGCTGTTTTGTACATACTGCTCCTAATTGCACACAGGAAAACAGAACAGAAGTAAACTGGCTGCTTTGTGTTCGGGCTTTTGATTTGAAAGGTTTGGTTAATGCTTGTTACCATGCTAATTATATCTATAGTCTAACATGTTGATGTATAAAAGTATCATTTTAACCTTTTATTCATCTACGAACAAGCCTTTCATTTTCAGATTGTGTCTGGATGTCTTTCCGAAATGCAGATTGCCACATATATATATATATATATATATATATATATATATATATATATATATAAAGATGTATGACATGACAGCTTTCCAAAAGTGAAGCCAAAACATCTCAATCGCCCCCTGGTGGCTGACTGTATGTTAGCAAATGGGACATGGGCCAAACTAAAACGTGTTTGATTTTAATTAGTTATTTCAAGCTATAAAAAAAGATGGTTTCACGTCATGATTGACAGCTGAGCCCTGCTTGTGATTGAGTTGGCCCGGCATATGAGCGGGAATACGATACTGTGCCAACCCTGATCACTATTGCCTAAGACTCTGGCTCAGGATGGCAAAAGATGGCAGCGGCTGTATCCCGGGTTAATTTTGGCTTCATTTCTGTACAGTGGGAGGAAGTGGAGACTTTAGAGAGTATCTTTTATATGTCCACGATTGACACATTCTCATTCAAGTACATGAAGTGGCCAAAAGTATGTGGACACCCCTGTTGTTCTTAGAGTGATATTTTTAGATGTTGGTTTGTGTCAGCAGTTTTTTTGTGTAAGGACTTGACTGGCCTGCACAGAGCCCCGACCTCAACCCCCTCCGACTCCTTTGAGACTGGAACAACGACTTGGAGCCAGACCTGATTACCCAATATCAGTGTCGGACTTCACTGATGCTCTAGTGGCTGAACGGGAGCAAATCCCTGCACCCAGGTTCAAACATCTGGAGGAAAAATGTTCAACCATCACACAAGTGTAAAGTTTTGGTGTCCACATACTTTTGATCATGTCGGGTGTATTGTGTTCAGTAATAATATGCTTTCGACTACTATAAGCTTGGACTAACTACCTTGTTATTTAACAGTGATCAGACTGCATTTATGTGGCTGGTCATTTGTTCTGCTTTGTGGTGAAATATATCATCAGTCCTTGTTGTTTTTCTCCGGAGCTCTTCTTTTTCATTATCATTCATTATTATTCATTATTATTTTGTATTCTTTTTCAGCTATGTGATTTGAACAGCATTTTTTATACCTCATAAATATTTCATTTTTTTAAAATCTTTTTTATTTGGACCTTAGAGGACTGGACGTGGATAAAAGACGGACTGGAGCTTCCTGTCTGCATATAGATTTTAGAAAATCTTGTGTCAGGTTTTCATTTGAGTTCAGTTTTATTCATCACACGACTTGCGACCACTGAACCTCTTCAAATGATCGGCGCTTGAGCTGAGCCCTTTTCATTGGATCCATTTCAATTATGAATGAATGTCATTCTCTCTGGCCTTTCTTTATTGGAAGTGAAAAGAAACTGAGCTTCATGGCTGCAGGAACCGTTCACACACGGGATGTGGTGGCTCTGTCTCCTCATAGGATAGTGATTGTATATGTTATTGGCTTTCTGAAGTCAGCACCTTTTCATGGTGTCAAAATTGGACACAAACATCCAACAAGGCTCAAGTCTCTGATGTATTTATCACACATGTCAGTGTTTCCAACGATTTCTAAACTCAACCAATCAACATGTAGATAATTACTATGACACAAACATATCTTAAAGCTGCAGTAGGTAACTTTTTATAAAAAATAACTTCTTGTCATATTTGTTGAAACTTTGATATACCCTGACAGTAGTACATGAGACAGATAATCTGTAATGACATCAGGTTCTTCTGGCTCCTCCTAGTGCTCCTAATGGCATTTGAAAGAATCCACAGGGTCTGGGTCATGTTTCTCCAGCATGATTTAATACTAACAACAGTAAATTTAGGGAGTGGTTGCGCTTTAAATTGGCATGAAATACTTTTATCAAGCTTCATTTCTTCAACTGCTACCCACTTTCTGTATAAGAGCATTACTGGAAACACTTAATGCAACAAGATTGTGGAGGAGAAACCACAGATAGGGTAGACATCTGTAGATTTGTTTATTTCAGACAAAAACAGCATCAGCTAATTTCACTAATTATCACATCTGCAATGAGGTAAAAGAAATAAGTGGAATGTGGCTTTTGGTGTTACTGAGTCAGCCGTTTTCATGGAAGACATTTCTGACAGGAAGAGCACAGGTGTAAATGGTTGAGTTCCATTTAGCTGCTTTAGATGAGGTCCTGGTGTTGTGAAGGCTGACTCACTGTCACACTCAATGTCATTGCTTGCTAGTCGAGTCAAAGTGTTTGTACAGCAAGACAAAACCTTGACAGGGCCTTTAGCTGATGATTTGTCATATTCACACCTGGCAGGGGCGGATCTAGACAAATATTCATGGAGGGCAGAAGTATATGCTGATTTAATTGCAATCAATATTTGCTTTTAAAGGCCCCAAATTCAGATATTGTCTGTAAAAAAAAACATTACATTGTGTGGCACATTAGTAAAGCATTGAATAGAATGAATTTCTATGTTATTTTTATTTGATTTTATTAGCATTTGATGGGGTGGCAGTTGGGGTGTCCAAGCATTTTTTAGGGGTGGCGGATCCACCCCTGCCCCCGGGGGAGAGATACAGTGAGTTCAAGATATAATTAGATTTCTGTTTGTAGTATCCAATATATCAATATAATACCCAAATTAATTCACTTATAAAGGATATGTTTTTTAATATTTTTCTGGAAAAATGGGGGAAATTATGGGGATTTTATAATAGTGGCTGTTATCTTAGTTAACGTTTAACGTAGTTACCATATTACTATTATTTTGGAGCCTTAACACTAAAAGATGTGTTGCTTTCTAAATTCTTGAAGGACTCACAGCATGGAAATGGCAACCTAGAAGAGCTCATACAAGTCTTAGTTTGTGAATTTAATGCCACAGTCAACATGTCAACCCATATAAAGTACATTTACATGTGTTATATGGGTTTTCAAAAGCTTCCTGGTTATGTTATGTGCATGTAAACGTCAGATCCTGGTTTCAGAAATGTGGATATGCTACCTGGACAGAGTTTGTATGTTGTTTACGGGGATATGAATAACCAGGTTTTCCATGTTCTGTGTAAATGCCTTACCCTGAATATGAGCAAAAACAGGATAAGACTATAAAAACCAGCGTGTGCATGTAAACAAACTCATAAGAGAGAAAAAAAATGTGACTTCTTGCGGCCCAGAATCCTTCAGTTCTGCCCGACTGTGCATCGTATGCTGACTGCGTCCTGAACCTGCAGTGCTGTGGACTTTCTGTGTTTGTCTGCATGGTGTTAGAGGGACGGGGTGGACGGGCGTGGCTCTGTCTGACTACGTTTGCAGGATCAGATTTGTGCCACTGCAGCACAGAGGAGGAGGAAAGGGGGGATGCAGGGGAGGGTGGATGAGGAAAAGGGGGGGGGTGCAGAGAGGAATGTGAAGTTTCAGGTCTGAAGCTGTTATTGCCCTTTTATAACAGTGAAAATATAACATCTGTTCCTGCCTGAACCTGCTGCATTTGCACTTGTTTGGAGGTTTTAAAGGTCTCAACATTCATACACTCTCACTATTTGTTGTGGGTTTTTCACTCTTACAGAGAGAGAAGGTTCCTCAGGAAACAGTTTGGATGTAATTAAAAGAAAAATGACAATCATCAAATTTAATGATCCTAAATATAATAAATATGCCTCTCCCAGAAGTATTGGCTTTTAAACACCCAAATCGATCCATGGCAGGCTGGGGACGACGAAGAGGAAGGAGGGCTGCCTTCTAACTCAGCTCATTGGCTAATGTAACAGGCGGGGGGGGGCATCCCTCCTGGGTGCAATATATCAGACCTGCTGAGTCACTTTGCTGCATTGGAGCAGCGACCACAGCCAATCAGCATCATCCTTTGAGGTCAAAGACAGACAATAACTGCTTCTGGGTACGTTTTCCTGCTGCAGATCCAGCTGTGTTCTTAAAGAGGCTGAGATCAGTTTTGTATTTTCACTCTTTCTGCTATGAGCCAGTATACTCTCTGACTGCTGCTTCTGGACCTTTGTATTGTTTTCAGCTCTGTTCTGCTGTGTTTGTAATGGAAGGACCTGTGTGGAAGAGAGGGATGATGACATGTTTTGGGAAAGAATATGATAGAAAGCAACTGTGTGACAGTATTTTGCATCAAAATATACAGAAATATAAAGCTCCACAACACTCTGAACTTCAGCAGTCTCTGGTCTTCATTTCACATTGAAGAATACATCTGATTATTATTACTATATTGTCCATACAGTCGATAAATCCCCTGAAATCCAACAATGAATTGATCCTACTAACGAATGTCAAATTCTGCTTCGCTGCATTTCTTCACTACATTTATCTGAAAGCTATAATTCAGATTTAACTTGTTTTGCTGTTCGTTATCTACATGTTAGTGTTACTCAAAATTAATAATGCAGTGATATAATATACATTTTACTGCATGGTAAGTACCTTTACTTTAGACACTTATATTATATAGCATGACCTTTACTTGAAATTAAGTATTTTTACACTATGGTATTACTACTTTTTAGTATTACTATCTTTACAAATTTATGGAAAAGTTGCGCTGAATTCAGGGGATTGGTTTGAATTTGCATTAACTGCTGTTACTACAACTTCCTGGAGGGACTGCTTAGGTTTTGTGACCCTTACCTTCATACATGTAGATATTTTAGAGACTGGGAACAGAAACCTGGAATGAGTTTTTAGGAGAAGAAAAAACAAAAAAACAGGCAGAAAACCAAGATAGTTGTGGATTTCATTTATTTCAGCATGAACACACATTCTGCTGTGTGCCATCACAAACAACACCACATAATGGGAGTGCGGGTCTGTGTCAGGCTCTGAGGTCTGATCAGAGTGGCTCATTACGACAACCAGCTTTAGAGGCTTTCTGTAACAGAATAAGGGCACTGCAGGGTGGAAGGAAAACAACAACGGACAGAGGAGAGAGGTGATTTTGTTCACTGATGGCACAAAGTCGCTTTTAAGAACTAACATTATGATCTTCTACGTAGCTGCACGGGTCTGACCAGGCACAACCTGCGTCATCAGGCACATGCGTTACACCTTCGAGTGACCTTTCAACTCAGTCACGTCACAGAAACAACAACCGCTGTACTCATAATGCCCTTGTTTAGATTTCAACACAGGAAATGTTCTGGCATGAGTTGATTGGGCCTTTTAGTTGTCTTCAAACATCTAAAATTAAAAACGGAGCATACCAACATTTTCATTAGTAATTTGTTGCTTCATACAGTGACACAGATTACAGTAATTCAATAGTGTACTATTCAGGGTACTCAAGTACTTATTCAGGAAATAGCAGGACCTCTAATAGTGGTTACGTCTATTTACATGAACGTGATTTTGTTCAGTACTACTGATATATCATATTTAACCTTTTAAGTGCTGTGCGTTATTCAGGAAGCACTAAATCCAAGTGACCAGAAAGGATTTGCAGAACACAGAAACAGGCAATCTGCAAATGAAGAGACCAGGATAAAAGACATTTAAATTATACACATTGGGGTTTGAAGCTCTGCTGAAACTCAGACCTGGCTGTGTGCGTTCAAGTGTCTTCCTAAAAATCATTGCACCTCCCAAAGGTTTACACTAGAGGACTGCATTGGGACAGGGATCCCGCGAGACCCAACGCATATCTCGCAGGAGCGGGCGGTTAAAAAGCTCTGTGGTAAAATAATTAACTGCAGAATGAGTTCCTTTATGTGTGATCACACTGAGTTTATGAAGAATGAACGCCACGTGAACAGCTCCGACATTAAGAGAGTCCTTCTGTTCACTGGCAGAAGCAAAAGAGCAAATCATAGTGTGGCGTTTAAATGCAGGGGAGAACGCGTTACTATCGACAGGGAGGACTGCGGGAGCGGGCGGTTTGAACATTTCTGCGTGTGCTAGTGGGCGGTAATGGTCAGAAACACAGCGGGATTAAGAAGACAGTCCCGCGCGGGGCTCTAGCTTATATCTTTATGTGAGAACAGGAAATCATCCGCCCTCCCATTGGTTCAAGTGCAAAATCCCTGCTGCAGTTTAACCAATCAGAGGTCGGGATAAGGAGGGGAGGGGTAACAAGGGCACACACATGTGACGTTACTTCCTGTGGCGTACAGGAGGCAGGAAGTGGGCGGACCGATGCAGCCTTTACTGGACCTTGGTGACGGTCTCGTGGATGGACTGAGCGACATAGTCGATGTTCTTGGTGGTCAGGCCGCACATGTTGATGCGACCGCTGGCCATCAGGTACACGTGCTTCTCTTTGATCATGTACTCCACCTGTTTGGCTGTAAGACACATTACAACACGGTGAGTGTTTTGTCCACAATCAGAGAGATTATTGTCAGAGGACTAAATAAAAATGAAAAAGAAAATATTCACATTTGAGAAACTGAAATAAAAAAAAAATTTTTAATTCAGATTAATGAATTGTCAAAATAGTCCAACTATGTGTGTGTTTGGTCGTTGCGTTCCCACTCACGGTTCAGGCCGGTGAAGCTGAACATGCCGATCTGCTGGGTGATGTGGTCCCAGGTCCCCGGGGTGCCCAGACCCTGCAGCTTGGTCTTCAGCTGATCCCTCATCAACAGGACCCGGTCTGCCATGGTCTTCACATTACCCTTCCTACAGAGAGCGAGAAACACACTGAATAAAGCAGTTCCACCTTAAAAATCACTGCTTCTCCCACGCTGTTGGACAGACAGAGGACGTCCCGGAGGGGCTGCGAGCCGAGCTGCTGCTAACGTTAGCTCAGCTTGTTTCTCTGATAACTTAAGATCCAGACGTCCGATGACTAAAATCCTTCATCCGGTTCAAATCTAGAGTTAAAAAGCACCAAGATCTAAACAGTGGATGGTAAAAACGGGTTAACATACATTTCTAAAACCTTCAGTATAATATAGTTGAGACTCTAAAAAAAAAAATCATAACAACATATAACATATTTTTAAAGAAACTGATGAAACTTCATGTGCACTTCACTGAGGGAAAACCATGAACACTGCATGTTTGTCTTATTACTGATATGTAACACTGGAATAAAATGATGATCACTACCCACTGTAGAGAACTACCAAGTCCTCATTATGTATAAAAGTGAATGTATGAATGATGGAGCGATTCCAGACACGTTAATGTGCAGATATTTAGTATTAAGCCAACAATCAACATGGAAACTAAAATGTTTTAACATCGATAGCGATCAGTTCCCATTTCTTTACGAACCACGAGCTGAAGGATACTAACAGGTTAATGTAACGTTGGCTCTGTGGCCGTTAGGAGCGTACCATTCAGCGAAGAGCTCGGGGCAGTTGAGGGTCTTGCTGACGATGCGTGCTCCCTGAGAAGGCGGGTTGGACCAAGTCGTCCTGACAATCTTCTCCATCTGAGACAGGATGCGGGCCAGGTTCTCGCCGTCCTGGGCAACCACGGTCAGGTTGCCAACTCTCTCATCTGGCAGCAGCGGGAAAGAAGGACTGCGTTAGAACATACAGTACAGTACAGCGCAGCATAATGTGCATAGACAGATTCCTGGCATGTAAATGTGTTATATTTTACTAGTTAACATTAATGTGTGTGTCTGTATCACGTGTGCTTACTGTAAAGGCCGAAGTTTTTGGAGAAGGACTGAGCCACAAACAGCTCAAAGCCCTCGGAGACAAAGTAGCGGATGGCCCAGGCGTCCTTTATCCAGACTGCCAGAGGCGAAGCCCTGGTAAGCCGAGTCAAAGAACACAAACAAATTCCTCCTCTAGAGAAAAGAAAAGAGAAAAATATAAATAAATAAAATGTTTAAACTAGTAAGAATCACATTATTGAGGTATGAAACTAGTCGTAGCAGTTTAAAAATAGTGGGAGATATTAGGAATCGACAGAGCAGTTTGGCATTTAGATCAGACACACACACACACACACACACACACACACACACACACACACACACACACACACACACACACACACACACACACACACACACACACACACACACACACACACACACACACACACACACACACACACACATAATCATATGCAGAACAGGTTTAGCTACAGCACATGGTTAGATATAGAAAAAAACATATGGCAACAACTAACACTGCTTCCTTTTCAAAATAAAACATTTTAAATATTTCTCAATGTTGTGTATTGCACAAGTAATTAGTAAGAGACTGAGGAAAGAAGCGATTAAATTACAATAGTCTCAGCTATGTGACAGCGTTTGTGCACTGCGACCCTACAATAACATCCCTCCGACAAACTCTGAATCAACTGGGCCTGCTCAGCATTTAAAGCCATGACTGGATGTTCACTGCATTCATTATGTTCCTCCACTCATTTGTTGAGGTTTTTCCTTCAGTTTGTCACCCGTCTGCAGAAGATCTGAAGAACGCCGTCTCACCTTCATGATCTCCGCTATCTGCTTCCACTGCTCCTGGGTCGGGTCGGTGCCGGTGGGGTTGTGTGCGCAGGCGTGGAGGACAAAGATGGAGTGCTCTGGAGCTTTCTGTGGAGAAAGGAAGAGTCAGATCTATATATAAAATATCTATATTCAAAGCATCAATGTTTTATGTTTGGTGGTTTAGTGGATTTGGCCTTTTACTGGTTAATTTAATATCAAACTATCAGTATCTAAATCATAAAGCCACATCCATTACATCCACTAGTTAACCCTTTTCTTCCCAAATATATCCACACAGCTTTATTTCCATAAGCTACTATTTTTATTCTACTTTATAGCAGCTTTTTTCCTCCATTTCAGCCTCAGAAATTCCACCTTATAATTCTACCACACTAGTTTTATTCAGTGTTACAGAATACTTTAGATCTGTAAGATGACCTGTTACCCAACAACTGTGGATAATAAAATGATTCGTGATTTTTTTTGTTGAGTCACCGGTACGTAAAAAATGCTGCCACCGAGCAGCTGTTCACCCATCGCAGTCGTCCCTCCTCACCTCCAGGTCATCCAGGAGCCCGGCGAGGTCCAGGCCCCTATTAGCAGCATCCCAGTAGTGGTAGGGCCGGATGTCTTTGAAGCCAGCGTCAGCAAACACACTATTGTGGTTCTCTGGGAGGAAGGACAAACAGCAGATATTTAAAACCTCAAATCAACCGACCGTCCATTTCATCCTAAAAACAAAGGATTCAAGGATGTCTACT